CGGTTGTTTTGTCCGGTTACGCTACATAGTCCATAAAAATAATATTCCGTACTACGAATTCCATAAATTTATATATTTTAAAAATTTATATATTTTTAAATTAAATATAAAATTCTACTCCCTCCGTTCCAATTTAAACCGTCTGTTTTGACTTTTGGGCATATTTAAGGAAAATAAAAAATAGAGTTGATTTTTTGAAATTGACATTACTTTTTAGGAGGGGTGATGATGAATGAAAAGATAAGGTGAAGAAGTGTGATTTATTTTAGGAGTAGCTTAAGTATTTTATTTTTAAAAGTTTATGAGAACAACTAACAGACAACTTATTTTAGGACGGAGAAAAAGACAAACAGACAATTAAAAATGGGACGGAAGGAGTACCAATTAAGATGTGATATTATTATATTATTTTATCAAATGAGTTAGTCTAATCTTTATTTGGATAACAACACAAGACGTGACATATAAATGGAATATTGTTGTTCATAACCACCCATTTATAAGTGCGACTCAAATTCTAATTCTCAATAAAATTTACATTGCACAGTATTGGTCTACTTTTGATATTTTGCAGTTAAAATTAATAAATTTTGACCTCCAAATTAATGAAATTTATATTATGTACTCCCTCCGTCCCAAATTATAATGCCTGTTTACTTATCACAGGGTCAAACTTCATTCACTTTCTTTCTCTATTTTCGTTAGCAATTTGATAAAATAAAATATTCTTGTCACTACTAGTTTTGTAGATCTTTTGATGTAGTTTTTTAATATGTAATTTTTATTTTTTAATTCTATACCATTTGTCATATAAAATGGTTTTAAAATAATTTCAGTCAAACATCGTAAACCGAAACAGGCGTTATAAAATGGGACGGAGGTAGTATTAAAAATATAGAAATAATTTTATTATATTTATCTTAGAAAATATTTTCAAAAATATTGCTATATCTAATTAAATCTAACATGTAATTTTTATTTAGTTCCAGGTTAAAGGTTAATCTTGATTGAATGTCAAAGTTCAAAACTGGACAAATATTATAGTACAGATGGAATACATGCATAATATTCCATGGATAGACTCATAGACCCACATCACTACATACAGTGATATAGACATATAGTTATTCATCTCTACTTATTTTTTTTAAAAAAAAGGTTTGATAGACTAGATGAGCCACTCGAGTTTTGTACCATTCTTGTTTCACTTAACTATGGTTGGTAGTGTTCTGTTGATTTTTTTTGGCTTATCCCTTACTACATACTCCTTATTTTATTAGAATCACTTCAAATCTTAAAATGTTAGAAAAACCCCCATTAAAACTAGACGAATGGAATACACTTGTGTTTCGTAAAAGAAATATTGAGAATAAATATTTTGAAATAGAGTGATGCTTACATGGTTTCAAAGTCTACATTTAAAATGTGAACATTCACACATTTTTATGAGCTTACCAGTATATATTTTCTTTTTAGAATATACCTACTTTTTTATGCAACAAACATATTAAAGTCTATAAAAGAGCATAAACATTAGGTGTATGGAAGAAATTTGTTTGGGAAGTAGTGACATTCTTTGATCATAAATTGTGAAAATAGTATATTTAGTTACAATATAAACTAGTGTTAACTTCGTACTTCGCACGGGCTCATATATACATTCTAAATTTTTGATATTCCATAAATATGATTTTATTTATTTTAGTTTTCTAATAGTGACAATTCAATATGTGTTAGATAATTTTTTAACTCTAAGATATATCTTTTTTCAAACAATATAATTTAAATATAGATGTACATGCACTAAAGATTTTATAAGTATTTTCTATAAAAGTAGTAAAAGAGAAATGATTTATTGTTTTTAAAAATCATATAAAACTTTATTTTTTCAAAACATCGATAAAGTTTAAAAATATATTTTATAGATATAATTTAATTATGTAATAAAATATGTATATTGGTATGTTTATTTAAAAACAAAAATTTATTACAAAACTAGTGGCCATTATATTGAATGAAGTACTAATGAAAACGGTTTTAATTAATAAAATATTATAATAAAAAGAGGCCGGTTCCAGAGCCACGGGAATCCAGTAGCTACGGAAGCCACTGCCCCCCTACGGATCTCTGTTCATGAAATTGATGATTCATACCCTCCTAACCCCCGGTAACCCCCCCGCCAAGTATCGACCGAAACTACTCCCCCCACCTACGTCAATTGCACCTCGTAAGTATAAAGTCAAAATTTTTGACTTTAAAGTCAATTATACTTACGAGGTGCAATTGACGTAGATGTGGGAAGTAGTTTGGGTCGAGACTTGGCGGGGGGTTTACTGGGGGATTAGGGGGGTATGAATCATCAATTTCATGAACGGAGCTCCGTAGGATGACAGTAGCTTCTGTAGCCACTGGATTCCAGTGGCTCTAATGAACTAATTAAATAATGATACATCATTAGAGAATATATATGTGACAATTTGCGTATATGCCTTGAAGCTGATTATTGTGCAATCCTCCATTAATCTACTGCATCCCATGGGGCAAATGGCATGTATTTGTGGTTAAAAGCATATATAGTTCTTGCTTCTAGGGGACATGGTTTGAACAAGCATACCATACCACTCGATGTTTGGTGCCTGTTCATTATATGTTTCTGATTCACTTCATGTTTTTATTGTTTTTTCGTGCCGAAAATCCAAAAATAAATTTTACATTTCTCTCCTTCCTTTTTAGTGAAAGGAATTTGTGGTTTATGATATTTCTATTTGTAAATCTCTTTTTAACTAGATATGGTAAATGGAAAAATTGGTTTTAACATACCCCGTGTCTTTGACTACATTTGGTTTGCATATCACTAAAGGTAAATCAATGAAATTGACATAATTCAAATAATTGATCTTGTTGTTGACTTTTCATGTTTTTTCTACATGAAAAATACTCCAGTGTAAAACTATTTACCGCGATATGGCTACTCCGTTACTCCGTAGAATATTGGGACGAGGGCCAATTTACCTTGTTATAAAAAGTGATTAAATATATACTCCCTTGAAAACATGTCCTAATTTGATGTTGGTCACCCTGTTTATAATTAATTAAATTATGATTTTAAATCTTTTCAAATAAATTCGTTCCAGATTTCAAAACTCATCTTTTCTTTAAAATTTCATAACTCATATTTTATTATATCTTCAAAATTCACCAAACAAACCCTAAATGTAAATCAATGAAATACTCTGGAATCTTATTGTTGACTTTTCATGTTTTTTCTATATGATAAAATACTCCAGGGTAAAACTATCATATCATATGTATATATATAAAGTGGAGCGGATTAATTGTAGTTACACCATGTGTCATGCTATGTAAGATTTTTTACCAAGTGTCACGCCATATGTAGCCATATAATCTTTCTTCTAGGAGCAATGCTGCGTTCACTAACAAAATGATCACAAACTTCACAAACTTACTACTACGTATTTATGATTTAAATTCTCATTTTAAAATTATTTTAGACTATTTAATTTTCTTTATTGAAGTTTACAAATAGTAAGTTTGTGAAAATTGTGAAGTTTGAGTTTGTAAACTAAGCATTTCCCTTCTTCTAGCAAATATCATTCCATGTGTTTTTACATGTCATGTGTTGTCACATGTCATGTCATATAATAATATATTACTCCCTCCGTTTCCCTAAGATGTTCTCATTTTGACTTTTGGTGGTTTTTAAGGAGAGTTGAAAAAATGTAAAAGTTTACCATAATACCCTTAATGAAAAATGGGTGGAGTGTATTAAATGATGTGGGTGAGGTGTAATAAATAAAGTAAGTGGGGGTAGTTGTGGTATTTTAATTGTTAAAAAATGAAATGAGAAGATCTATTGTGGACAAAGAAAAAGGGCTATTGAGAAGATCTATGAGGGACGGAGGGAGTATATTTTTTATATTATGATATATTTTATGTTGCAATTTTTTTATATATTTCCTTTATTTTTTTAAAATAACTTTTTTATGGAGTATGAAAATTCATAGAGAAATTTGTCAAATAGGACTAAAACATAATGACTTTCCCAATATAGGACCATATGTTTTTATTTCCCAATGTAAGACTTTTGGTCATTATCAAGTAGTCATTATTCAAGTAAATGTCTATCATTACTGGACATTATTCCTCCCACTAGGTCATTATTAAATCTTATTTAGGGAATAAAAAAGTTTAAGTTATACAGTGGGAAAGTCATTATGTTTTAGTCCTATTTAGTGCAAATTTTACTATCGATAATGCCTAAACACATGCAACAATTACACAGAGTACGTGTTAACCATTAAATAAGAATTAATTTTATCAAATTCTTTATAAAATCCTTCATTTTCTAACACAAAATAATCATTATAAATATTAAAGATTAATAAAACCTTTAATTTTTTATAACATATTTTTGATAAAATAATATAGTCATGTCACCTATTGTTTTGTAGAGGTTTTTTATGTAGTTTTTAATATGTAAAGTTAAATTTTTAATTTTGCTTCAATTCTCTAATAAATTACATTGGAAATAACTTTAGTCAAACATCATAAACCAAAATAGACAATTTAAATTGGGACAGAAGATGTAATATAATTATAAAAACAACATTATATATAAAAAACAACATTGTATTTAATTTTTAGAAGTATCCATCATTACTTTTATTTTAACATTTATAAAAAAATTATTATACAAATTTTAAATATATACATCTTTATATAAAAAATTTATATAACACATACAGAGTATTATATAATTATTAGAAAATTAAAATTAAGAAGTTTACATTAAGAGCATGTCAGCAATTCCAAATATATACGAGCTCGTGCGAAGCATGAGGTTAACACTAGTCTAGTATAACTAGTCTAGTATGTATGTTACTCCATACCGGCATGGCTACTCCGTAGGATATGGTAACTTTGTAACTATGAAATGGAGATTTAGTTATATATCATTATTCCGAAACCCTAACAATAAATCTCCTTTAGCCTGTTGGCTGATCTCGTTCATCTTCCACCACTTCTCTCCAGTTCGATTCCCGATCTCGTCATTTTTTATTTTCTTTCTTCCTCATTCCATCTCCAACCATTTCACATTTGCAGGTAGTTTTTAAGCCACAATCCCATTCATTTTTGGTCAGAATCTTACGTACATGCGAAGGATTCCATGGATCCAAACTTGCCCCCTGTTCGGCCATTAACGGGAAGGAAGGTCCGAACGACCTCTGAAATTCATCGAATCCGCCCTTCTATTCCACTTTTATATGCAAATCCTTCATTTGTTTTGCTGAAATCTGAGTTAATCTTAAAGCTAATCTCCATTAATGAGTGAAGTGATTTCTTTGCAGTTCAGATTTGTTCCGAAGCCTCCACCTCGCAGAGCTGTGCAGCAGCTGAACACGTAAGTTCTCCATTTCCTTTCTCACATGGTGTTTCATTGTTTGTTTCGATGATGATGATGATGAAGAATTGCAACTTCCGATTTGAAAAATGTAGAGATGCTAGCCGGGATGCGGCGGCGGCGGAAGCTGCTGCTGCTGATGAACCTCCTCCCGACGATCGTCTTCTCCGCCGGTTCAATGTAAGCTGCAAATCGCATCTGTCCGAGTCAACTTTTTCTCTGTTCCTTTTTTTTCCCACTTCATTTATTCTGCTGCTTCTTGATGAATCATGATAATTTTATGGTAAAGTTTTTCATAATAACAAAAGACCACCCAATTTTACTACGGTGACTTTATTTAATTCTTATGAGATTCTAATAGCTTTATTGTTATTGATACTTTTCTGTAACAAAAAAAATTTTGACTTTCCTTTTTCGTGATCATTAAGTAAAATTGTTTGATTGAAATTTATGAGAAAGACAAGTTTGTCTTGAAATAATTGTCTCGATTTAAAGAAAGTTTTGAAAAATTAAAAGTGAATACTTAAAATTTGATTAAAAGAAAGCTCTGTTAGCTTTTTTGCGTATAATACGCGTATTATACACCCGTACGTATAATACACGTATTATACTTCCGAATACGTATTTTTGTCAAAGATACGAAAAAATTCGCGTTTTTTATGGACAGCCGTATTTCCGTATAATAAATAGGAAAGTGAAACATTATTCATCACATTTTCTTTATTTTATTAGGAAATTAAAAAATGAGACCATTGTTTTGGAATAGATTAAAAAAATAGTTGTGTTATTTTTGTCATTAGATCTACATGTAAAATGTGAATCTTCACATATATTTATAATTGAATTATAGTCAGATCTTAAATTTTACAAGGCCCATCACATAAAGTTATTTTATGTATGAATGTTTATAAAATAAGTACGAATCTAGAGCCCATAAAAAAATTGTCTAAAAAGAAAAATGACCATTGCGAAACAAAAAAAAATTATGGAACTATATTTTGAGATGGGGGGAGACCATATTTGGATTGACCACGGGCCCAATCCGGCCCATTATTAAATCCACTTCCCAATGATTAATATCCCACTGGGCTGTAAGTTCCCCTGCTGGATGGGGCCATGGGTGTTGGTGGAGCCAACATGGAAAGCTACGGAGTATTCAATTTGTTATTTTTATAAGGAGCCAGAAAGGGCTTTTAGGTGTGTAAATTTGGGAGGAGGTGAGGGAGATGAAGAGGATGTTTGGGAGTGTTTTTTTTTTTTTTGAAAAGTGATTATTTTTACCACAATCTAAAAGGGATATCTCAAAATGTTTTCTCCCAATTTACCATTCTTAGGAGTCCAAAATTTAGTGATCATTTCTTACAGTACTCTGTATTTAGTAAACATACTATTGTGTATTCTCTTTTCTAAATTTCCCGATAAATAGCATGAGAAATTTGTTTGAATAGGAGTGATAGACTCATTTTAATGACTTATTTGACATTTCACCGTACTTCATTATAAATGATGTACTTTGGAAAAATGGACAATTAAATTCAAAAAGAAGGGTTAATGCTTAACCTTCATCTACCTCATGACTAGCCAAACATGTTATGAATCTAGTTTTACTACATATTTAGATTCCCTTTCTTGTCAACTAATCCTCACAGGAGCACATAAGCAGGCTGAGCAATCGGAAATCTAGTGCCGGAAAGAAGGGTAATTTCGTTCTCTATTGCATTCTTTGATCCAAGAAAATCATGCTCAAACTATTATGTGCGCTTTTTTTTTTCATTTGTGTAACTTTAGAGTGCATTAAATACGGCATCACTTCCTTGGGCATTTTTTACATCCAAACAATGCTTAATAATACGTAAATATTCAATGTTCAGCTTATCTCACAACCATATGGGAATATGGGATGGCTTCTAGCCAAGAATATTTGAGGAATCAATAATGTACTGCAATTGACCATTCAAATATCCCCACAGAGTGTCATTCTTCTATAACTTCCACATTTGGACTTGAGAATGATGCCTAGCTGACACAATTCTTGAATGATTTGAGCAATGTAAGAAAAACTGTTTTATTTTACATTTCTGACTTATAGTTCTTGAATTTCTCAAATGATTCTCAGGAATTCAATTTGTAGAGTATCATGAACTGGCACCATCAGCTCCCACTAGGAAACATGAAAGCCTTGGAGATTGGAAATCGGAAGGTTTTGGTAATGACGAAAAGGGCATTTTTGTCGATCAAACCGTTGAGAAGAAGAAAAAAGAGTACAGAGAGCCTTGGGTATGTAAGAAATCTCTATTCCTTCTATCATGTAAATGTGGCCCTGTCTATTTTGACTGTGACCTTCTTGATGATGGTCCTTGGCAGGATTATGAGAATAGCTACTATCCCACCTCTCTCCCTCTAAGGAAGCCTTATTCTGCAGATCCAGGTATTATCAAGATGTGATTAAGTAGTGGTTGTATCTAGGTCATTGGTTCTGTTTGGTGACCCTTTTGCAGATTTTCATCAACATTTCTTCAAGTATTATAAATTTTCTAATTCTAATGTGCTAGCTGAATCCGGTAATAGCTTATTTTTTGCCAAAGAGGCACACGCTAACTCTTGAACCCATGATCTCTTTGAAAAAAAACTAAAGAAAAAGTGGCTTTGTTTATCATCCACTAACCCAAGCATAAATTCTATTAAACTGGTAAATGTCAAGTCCACATTGAGCAACTGCAAATACCTCATTTTATTAGTGATTTCTGTAAAAATGTGTATGGCTACATATGAAGCATGTCTTAGCCTTGATCATTCTGGTTGATAAGCTCTTGAAGAACTCAACGGTCCAGATAAGGCAGATATAATGGTCCTTTTTAGTAAACTTCATAGCTTGCAACTAAAAAAATTGTCATTTGCAACAGTGTAACACTTTTCAACCTCCATTTCACATGCACTGTAGAGATTCTTGATGAAGCAGAATTTGGAGAGGCAGCTAGTAAGATAAAGCATGATGAGAACAAAAGAAATGCTTCTTCAGAGCTTGGTTTACTGGTAAAAGCACACAATTAGTAATCTTATATACTTAAACAGTATTATTAATATATCATATGTTTATGCATCTCCGAAATGAGATCACAAATTATTAAGCAGTTCAAAATTCTAACACAGGACGGAGAACCCAAGCTTCTTTTTCTCCAGCTACATAACCACTTGCCCACACATAACCCTAAGGAAAAAGAGCCAGCTGAGGTTCCAATCAGTGCAAAGGGAAAAGAAAAAGCTGAGAGCTCGACAGCTGTGCGAAGAAAGGGCCCAAAGAAGGGATTCAGTTTGGAAGAGTTGCCCACGGGTCACATGGGGAAGATTCTGGTTTACAAGAGCGGTGCAGTTAAGATGAAGCTGGGAGACATCCTCTATGATGTAAGTAGCATCCTTGTCTAGTCTTAGCCATAGACCATAGTGTTCTTTTTGCCTTAGTTTGGGGAACATATTTGCCTGCAGGTAGTTCCAGGAACAGAGATTTCGTTTCCTCAAGATGTTGTCGCAATTGACAATGTCGAAAAGAGTTGTGCTGTGCTGGGAGATGTGGGGGCCCACGCTGTCGCGGTTCCCGATATAGATTCACTCTTGGAGAACATGCCTACACACATTGATTGACACGCAGACACACACTACAGGTAGTACAAATTACAGGATTTAACATGGGAAAAAAAGACAACAAAAACCATGTCACCATTGCAGGAGTTGAACATTGTGGTGGTGTAGAGTTGCACACTAATGAAAATTGACACTTGCTTGATGGTATCTAGAAACACTTCATGCGCATCGTCATATTTTATGGTGAGTCGAGGATGACAATACACATAGTAGTGATAGTACTAGATTTAGCATTATCGTCGTTACAAAGTACTCTTTATGCTTCAGTGTTTAATTTCATCGTAAAGTATGATGTTGAACGGGGTAGATGGGCAAGACGGAAGAAGAACAAGAGTGGATGGCAATTAAAAGGGCAATTGTAAATATGCTCGGTAATGTGAATCAAACCAAATCATTTTGAAAAGAATTTTAGAATGTTACTTGAATTCATATCAAATCAAACCAAATCTGTTAAGTTCAAACTATATTTTATTGAAATCAGATAAAAAAGCAAGAAAAGAGCTTTGTTCTTTCTTTTTTCCCCTTCTCTTCCTTTTTTTTCTTCCTTCAATTTCTTAGATTGATTTTTAATTCTTCAATTTCCTAGATTAGAAACCTAATTTTGATTTTTAATTCTTCAATTTCTCAGGTTTGAAATCTAAATTTACACCATGTTTGGGTCAAGAAATTTGAAAGAGAAAAGAAAAAAATAAAGTGGAAAACACTTTTTCTTATTTGGTTAGAGGGGAAAAGAAAGGAAAACGGGAAGGCAAAGAAGATAGAAAAGGCAAAATATACTAAGTGGAGAGAAAACTAAATTCTTTTTATTTTGGTGAGAAAAATGAGAGAATCATTTTCTTTTCTTTTCCTTCCAAATTCCTTGAACCAAACCAAACATAATGTTAATGTTTAAATCTTGAATTTCTCAACTTTGAAGTCTTAATTTGATTGTTAATTGATCAATTTCTTAGATTCGAAACATAGAGTTTGATTTCTATGACACAACCCTAGATTTTTTTATATAATCAAATTCATCTTCCATTAAAAGCCGTGCAAAGTCATACTGAGAACATTCTTACGGAACGGATCAGAGGGGGTATAATAAACTACTCCGTATAACAAAGCAAAAAAAACAAAAAATAAAAATATAGAACTCATCCAAGACGTAGAATAGGTAACTAACTCTAGCACCAAAATCAACAATTAGGATAGTGACATTAATGCTAAAATGGTAAGTTTTTCCTTCCATTTCTGTCTCCAACATTGACCCTGCATTGAATGTTAAAAGATGCAGTCAGCTCCAAACTAAATAATGTAAAAATTGAGAATACATTTATTCCCCCTATCCATTATATTGGAGTTGCATTCTTTCTATTTGTCAAAAACCCAATGAATAATAATACACTCTCACTTGTCTCGACACTATAATGCCACAGTTTTGAAGGGTGAAACATAAAACATTACCACTATTAATGTTTTTTTAGTAGCTCCCAAACATACATCAGTGTAGTATCTATTCACTTTTAATCTCAACCTTTTTTTAAAACAGGGGTGGGGCTCTTTAAAAAAGCTCCCAACTAGTTTGGAACACATTTTTTTTCTTCAAAAAAGGTCTTCTCAACAAAGTGAACTCTTTTTTAGGATGAAATCAAGTTTAGAAACATGACTTTAATGGGATGAAGAGTAATCTTTTGAATAATGGGGTGTTTGAAACATGCATGACATTTTAGGATAGAGTTTATTATTTTGTGTTGATTATAAGCAATATGCAACCTTAATGTAAAGGTAATACTGTAACTTTACCCCCACAAATGTCATCCATGAACTGAACCTGGATGTGGTAGACTCACTCATTGCTTCTTCAATGCATTCATTCTATCCCGGAGATAGTACAGCTTCGCCCTTCTCACCTTCTTCTTGTCCACCACCTTTACTTCCTTTATATTGGGTGAGTATCTAAAATCATGCAACTAAGACTTAGCTACAAACTTTGCCAAGGTAGCTTTACATTAAACACGTAATAATTGCATTTACTAGCAGTTGATATAACAATACATATAATTATTTTGAAAGACAATGAAATTTTAGAAAGCAACCAAGAATCAAAGTCACACATAGCACAAAGAACAAAAGCAACCGGTGGCAAAAACAAAGAACATGTCACAAACAAACTATGGAACATAAAACAATGGGAGAAGCCTCAAAGAATTTGCAATTGCAAAAATCAAGGCTGATAAAAAATATCATAATAAAAAACAGAAATTATACAAAAAAACACTGATATGTGTAGGCTTGCTATGACTCTAAAAGTCGTAGGGCACAAAGAAAATAGAGGCACAAGAGTCGTGTTATAAAAGTTGGAGTGCAGCCCTAAATTACACCGATGTTTTTAATAGCTGTAAGTGGTTCGCGATTCGTGCATTATATCACATCAAGTTTTAGCGCATCACAGATCGTGTTAGGGCCTTTTCACAACTATGCCTCAAACAGGCTGAATGTTGCCCGCACCATACTGATTCGAGTAAAAGAGGCTAATTCAGTTGTATTTAATGTTTTTATACAAGAAAGTGCATCAAACAAGTTGAGGGTGTCAAATTTAGTTGAACAAACAAATAAATTGTGAAACATAACTATATTTAATGATTTCGCATAGTTGTTCGTTTGTACCTTACTAAAATTTTAGACGTTATACATTTGTAACAAGAATCTTTTTTATGAAACAGGGGGGATAATTATTTTAAAACAATAACACACACCTAGCTGCTAGGTGGTCCAACCACCATCTAGTGATTTTTGCAGCATTGGAACAAATGGGGTGCTAATTTTATACTCTCTCTGTCTAGAATTAGTTGTCCACTTTCTAAAACTCTCAAATTTAAGAAATGAGTTTAAAATGTCAAATGGGTCTTTCAAATGAGTTTGTCACTCATTCATGCCAACAATGCTTGTATCTCATGATTCTCATCTCTAGGATAGTTCACACAATTCATTATAATTTCTCTATTGAATATAGAAAGCAGATAACCAAATCCAGACAAATGAAAACTAGAAAGCGGATAACCAAATCCGGACAAATGAAAACTAGAAAGTGGACAACTAAATCCGGATGGAGGGGATATTATACAAGTACAACACCAAATGGTAATTACTGTGGTGTCAGCATATTCTTCTTTTTTAACTTTAAACTTTAAAGGAAGAAAAATAAAAAGATTCAAGTCAGTACCACTTACAGATGAAAGAGGGATTCAACACCAACCCCTGCCACAAGCCTTCTTAATCTGAATGTTGTATTCAACCCAGCATTTCTTCTGGCTATCACTATTCCTTTTATAATTGAAACGCGTCTCTTGTTTTCAGGTACTTCCTGATATACAAGCATGAACAATAGCAAGTTATTTGGCAAGAGCAACTAGGAGACTAAGACCATCTAACACAAAATTCAAAAATAAAAAAAATAAGATGACATTCAGAAAAATATACTATGGCAAGCAATAAAGAGCAAGAAAAAAATAAGCAATACATACTACTTTGAGCTGCAAAATATAGCCAGGTCGTATATCAAGTATCTCTCTCTGTGTCTTCACTTCTTCAACTGCCTCTTTATCAAGAATCTGCAATGGCAAGGATTAAAAATATCTGCAAACACACAGATTACTATCAATAATCCACACCACATGATTGGATGAAATATCTCGTACCTGCATTATGTGCTTTGCAGTCTTATCTAGCCTCTTAAATTTAATACGTGGAGTTACCAGAGAGTTAGAAGCTGAAGCATCTTGAGAAACAGTATCCACTGAAGACCCAATGGTGGCAATAAATCTTCTTTGAAAAATATGACCAGATGGGGAAAGTTGTGACAAATGGGAACTAGAACCCTTATGATATGATGTCACTGATGCAATGCCATTTTCCTTTGAATGTAAAAGAGGCTCTTCTTTAGTTCCAATGTTATGCTAACAATGTAGCCAGTTTAAACATAATAATTCCCACCCAAGACTACATCACATACAGCATTTTATACTCCTAATAGATACAGCTCAAATATTACCTAGCATCTATGAACCACAAAATTACTGCTTGGGCAGCATTTTACACATCCAAAACTTGAAAGCTTGGAATCTTCATGCAAATGTCTTCATGCTATTTTCTCGACTTAAACCTTATTTTGATATATATATATATATATATATATATATATATATATATATATACATACATACATACATACATATATAACTACCCCCCCACCCACCTTGGCCAGTTGGCCTGGCCCGAACCCATCCCCCCACCTCTATCAATTGCACCCCACAAGTTTAGTTGACTTTGGTGTCGAAAATTTTGCAAGTGAAAACTTCATTGAGGTACTCTCGTAGTAAAACTTGCTAAATACTGAGTATATACTCCCAAACTTTTGATATGTATTATTATTTATATTCAGCTATTTTATTTTATGAAATGCAAAATATGGCTTCACCCTATAAATTTATTAGTTTTTCACTCTAGAGAGGCCATAATTGGATTGATTGCAATCTAGATTAGGGAACTGTACATGCTCAAGGGCAATAACTAGGAGGCAAAAAGGACAATTATGAAACTTAGGGACTAAAATCACTCTCTTCCATACTACATACAGTATTCTTTTGGTTGGTACACCTTATATGTAAATATTAAATACTATAGAGTTCAAACTAGGAAGTGTTATCCCATCATCCTTTAAACAAGACATGGAAAACATCACGGGCATGGGATAAAAATAGGAAGAACAATTCTCAGGCAAGACATTCCACAGGCAAAAAAAATCAATTGGTTAAGAGAAAAAAAGAAATGTTATATGCCGTTACAAAGACTTACATAGTATGCAATCCCCTTCCTTCTGTCAACATTTCCTGCTCAGCATAAATTAAAATGGAGAATCAGAAAACAGAAATGAATCGCAATCCTTTAAATAGATTGTGTTAATGGAGTAAAGAGAATGAAACCTGAGGAAGTAGAGAAACGAGGAGATGATAATCCAAAAGATGAGTGCAATGCTGCTGTAGCTGGACGGGTAGGAGTAGAGACAGCAGAGAAAAATCTTCTCAACATCTTTGAGTCTCTTATAATGCCTGGGTCAATTGGAAGTCTGCCACAGCTCTAGCGCAAAGGTACTGCATAATTGAGAAAATTGGTTTAGTACTTCAAATATCTAGGCCCTGTTTGGTATTCGGATGATTGTGTTCATACATGTTAAGGGCGTGAGGTGCAAGCATGCACAAAGGGGCCTTGGATTAAATCTAAACTTGGCAAAGCATACCCAATACCAATTACCCAAACCAAATAACCTAAAACTCTGAAATGAACCAAAAGCTAAAGATCCCATCTATAACTGAAAACTCAAATGGCCCAAAAAGGACTAGAACCGAACTTAATGTATTCAGACCTGAATTAGATATGATTCCAATCAGACCCAAAAATGATAAGACACGAAACCGATCAAACCCAAAACTAAATCAAATCGTGACTCTTAGTATGGACTATGGAGTAATAAATAAACTACAAGCCACCTTTGGCCAAAGTTCAGAAAATGTAAATTTAAAATAAAAAGCATTCATAATACTAAAATTAAAAAAATTTGAATGAAAGCATTCACAGCAACGCCCAAATAAATTCAAATTTTCAAACTTTTTAGCTATATATCCATCATTTTCATAGAAATCAAATTTCTAGCCATTCGTTTTAGATGAAACAAATATGGAATGGAAAAACGCAGAGATAAATAAATACAAGTAGAAAAGAAAAAGTTCCCTTAAACTAGTTCGCTAATGGCATCTACAAGCTGAGTTCCCCCAAAGGCCAAATGTAATGCTAAGTTTCCCAAAAGTGCGTAATTGGTTCGTGAATCAAATAATGGACAAATGTGATGCAGAGTTTCCTCACAATTCCATTAATTAAAATAATTAATTAATTATCAAACTGACAGTTTAATTCTGAAATAATAAGCATTGAAATACGTGGTCTGAAATAGAAGAATTGAAAAACAAACAATGAATCAATGTGAAGAACCCCAGAACTGAAATGTTAGGGTCTGAAATCGAAAGAAATGTCCGGAAAACAAACCGATTTGAAGCTGCTGGATCAATTAGAAGTTGATGAATCAATTTGATGCTGCCGAATCAATATAGGCTCTGAAGTCCAATTGAAATGCTGATTGGGGTATGTTTGGTTGGAAGGGATGGAGAGGGGAAGGAATGGATGGGACTAATGGGAGGGAAGGGAAGGATCTCATTACCTTGTTTGATTGGGAGGTGAGGATATATTTTTTTTTTCAATCGTTTATTTGTATTTGTCATTTTTAAATTAATTTTATTATCTATTATAAAAATACTATGATCAGTGTTTTTTATTTTATTCTTTCATTTTATTTTTTATAATTTTAATTTTATTACTATTTTTATTATTTATCCTACATTATAAATTTTTATTTCCTTATTTAACTTATATTTTTAAATGTAATTATATTTATGTGTGTGTGTCTACATGCATGCATGCATGTATGTATGTATGTATGTATGTATATGTGTGTTTACACATATGTATGTATGTAGGTGTGTGTGTGTATCCTATTTTATCTAATACTCCGTATTTACTACTACAATTTTTCATTATGAATTGATTGATTGATTTTATTATTATTATAATTATTTATTATGTTTATTATTATCATTTTTTTACTTTTTATTTATAATGTTTTTAGTTATGTTATTATTTTTTATGGGTTCTTTTATTATATTAATATTTTTAGTTTTATTTTTTATATTTAAATTTATTATTATTACTTTAAGTATCATTTATTATTTTATTTATTTACTTACTTTATTATTTTATTGTTATTTTTTGTTATTTTATAATGATTTTATTTATTTTCTAATTATTTACTAAAGTACTTATTTGTTTTCACGTTATTTTTTAAGTATTACTACTCTTTATTTATTTATTTTAATTTTATTTTTTATTTTATACTTTTTATTGATAAGAAGAAAAAGTTGATGGAAAAAGAAGAGAAGGACAAGAGGGATGTAGATTCCATACGATTCTCAAGGATTGATTTGGAGGGGAGGGGACTAAAGAGGGAATTGAAGTTAAAATTTTGAGTATCCTTCCTTCCATGTTTTCCCTCCCCTTCCCCTCCAACTAAACAGACCCTTAGCATATTGTAAAGATCATACGTAGTATACGGGTAGAAGTGTTAACGTTTTCAAAATTAATTTAAACCATTTAAATTTTATTCAAAACGGTAACGTTAATCTTTCATTCCCAAACGGGCCCTAGATTTGAAGCTAGAGAACATCAAAACATATGAATGGTGCTTTAAAATACGGAGTATGAGATCTAAGGATCATAAAAATATGAAAAATAAGGGAAAATGGGAAAAATCGTGGTGGCTTTTTGTAACTAAATCAAACAGAGTAATGCTAAAATCACAAACAAAAAAATCACAAAATTCACAATCTATCAACGTCCTCCATGTACTCTACTAGGTTGGCGAAAGCCTTGTTACGAACTATTGACCGAAGAGCCTTACTACCAGAGCTAGTGGAAGAGCTCAACTCCTACTAGAAGTTGATGAAGGTGATTCGCCTCAACTACAGGATGAACACTTGGTAGATCTCCTCTTCCATATCGGCATCTTCCTCATATGTAGTTTCTATGCCGCCTATTCTTGATCCCCGAGAGGCTATAAATAAGGTATATCGACTCAACATTAGATATGAAATTGAATGTAAATCACGAGTAGATTTCAAGACCGTTAGACGCTAGTGATTTATTAGGTTGACCATAAATTTCCTATTTTATCTTTTTTTATAGAACATGTTTTATTTTTACTATAGTTATCTTAGATATCTCAAGTTCTTAGTTCTATACCAAGAGCTCTCAAGTTCTATACTAAGAGCTCACAAATAAGGAAAAGATTAAAATATGAGTAAAATATTTAATATATACCAAAATAAGATTTTCATGTTTTTATTCTCGAAATAGGAGTTAAAATGCATTTATATTACACAACATGATCATGTACATTACTAAAAAGTATAGTAATGTACACATGTACAATGTCACATCATGTGCACTTATATTTTTTCTATATTTTATTTCTATTTAAGGTGATTTCTAACTCACAAATTCATATTGTATCTTTCTAGCAAATTTTCAAGGAAAAACATTCATATTATGATTTTGACAAATATGAATAAAAGAAAAAAATTTCTTTTTTTTAAAAAAAAAACTCTTTTTATGTTTCTTTAACATATAGAGTATGCCTCTGACGCATTCATTTTTTAAAACTATTGATCAATTAAATAAAAAAACATAGAAATAAAAACAAAACCAGAAAAATGAAAAAAGTGAAAAAAGATTTGCAAAATTAAAAATACACCGTCAGGGTAGTGAAATTGTGAAAACGCAAAAAAAAAAAAAGAATGTAAAAGAATATAAAATGTTTTTTGAGATTTTTTATTTCCTCAACATAATTAAATTAGATTACTATTAGTACTTGATTATTTTTTTTAAAAAAAAATATTTCTTTCATTTTTTATATGGGTTTTCAACTTTTTTCTTTCCTATTTTTTTTAGCTTTAGAATGTTTCGTTTTTATATTTGTCCAGATGGGTTCAGTCATCAGTTCGGTGGAAGCAAAGAAACGAACACTCTATAAGTAGAAAGAAAGACTAGAGATAGCTAGAAATAGAAAAGAAAAACTCGAGCATTTTTAGAAAAATACATTCACTTGAAAAATAATAATATTACATCCAATAAAAAGGCTACATTCAATAATTGACTACCATTTTACCACAAAGCTGGTCAGCCAGAATTTTACCACGAGAAGATTTGCCAGTGACAGAAATTTTGGTGAGTGAAAAGTGCAGAAAATGAAAGAAACAAGCAAGCATCAAAGAATAGGCGAACCAGCTTCCTCTCCATCTGAAGACGGATACTCTTCTAACTCCCTTTGAAACATTGCCTCAAAAGCACGCGCCTCTCCATATATCTTTTTGTCGTCGGGAATCAATTCCTACAAATATACAAACAAATAGATAACACTTGCTATAAACCATCTGTTTTCTCATTCTAAAGAGTTTGCCTCATACTAAAATGATGCACAGACCTAACCAGAAATACTACCAAGTCTCATGTGGAGTTTGTGTGGAGTCCCCTCCCAACAACCACAAGAGGTGTGTGTATATATATATATATATATATATATATATATATATATATATATATATATATATATATATATATATATATCTCACATGGGGAGGGAATAATACATAGAGAGGGGTAAAGATGACTATACAGATAAAATAATAACGTATTCCATAACTGTCTGTACCTCCATCGCATCCTTAGCGTCTTTAGTCACTTCATATGTTTCACCAACAATATTAATAACAACCTCTTTAGCTGAGTGTGTTTGCAAGTAAACAAATGCCTGACTTGATTTCCATATCTTACCAAGGTTTGCACCGTCTTCACCAATGATAAGATCAATAAACAATAGAGGAATTCGTTTGAACTCCAAAATCTGCACAGCGAGCAAAGTTTGGGTTTATCTACAAATTGCAAGGCAGCCTTGCAGGAGAGAAAAGATGGATTGTACAGTGTGTAATATCTCATCTACACCAATACCCAAGACCAAACACGCAGAATGGAGACATGCACATCAGTTAGCCATTGCAAAGGCCCGAACTGTTATTTGGTGAATTTCGAAGGTAACTAAGAGATCAAGAGTTTATATGCCACAAACAAATCGTAAAGAACTTTTTCCATAAGGTGTATATAATGAATGGTATCCATAGCATATGTCTTTTAATAACTGATGGCATCTCAATAAACTAAACGAAGATGGGAAATAGCAATCGGAATTCTGTTGGAGGAGAGGGACACTAACCGCATACTCTTTTGGACCTTTCATCATTGAAGATGATTTTCCATTCCCAGGAGCAGATATTTTGTGAGACGATGGACAAATGTAATTCTGTGCAGTTTCCATGTGCATCAAAAAACATGAATTACTATAAGCAATTGAATATAATCAACTATGCATAGATTGTTGCATTCGATCTTACTCCAGTTTTAAACTTGGACATCATTGAAGATGATTTTCCATTCCCAGGAGCAGATATTTCGTGATACGATGGACAAATGTAATTCTGTGCAGTTTCCATGTGCATCAAAAAACATGAATTACTATAAGCAATTGAATGTAATCAACTATGCATAGATTGTTGCATTCGATCTTACTCCAGTTTTAAACTTGGACATCATGCTCTCATCAACTCCAAACTCTCTCAAATCACGAAGAACTGATTTCATTCCATCACATATACGTGCAGGATTAGATACTTCCACATCAACAATCACATCACCAGGGAACAAAACTGACAGGCTATCTACATAGAGTATGTCAACAATTAAGAAAAGAAGATAACTGATAGTCAAAATAGTAACTGAAAAAGTTAATAATAACATGCCAAGCCAGCTAGTTACACACCGATTAGATAGATAGTAAGAGTCCACGGACAAGACTTGATTGAGTGGAGAATAATCAACTTTTTGGCATGTGCAGCTGGTACAAGTAGTCTTGTTAAGTACACCATGGAAGGAATGGTTTGCAAAAAAAATCGGTGAATCTCTTCAAAAACATTAACAGCATCATCGATGGACCGTTTAGAGTCCCATTTTGCTGATACCATAACCTATGCAATATGCCCAACAATTTTAGATAATATCCGCATAACCTGAACTCCAATAAGAAAAACATTCTTTCCATTTTATCTAGTAACAATTAAATTCGATGATATCAAGATTTAAAAAAACAATGGACCAAAAGTTTGAGTTCATACATATCCATGATTAGATATTGGGATTGTCTGTGTGACATCTATAGCTTGAAGATTCACAGATCTGTGTAAAACCAACTGAAGATCAAGATCTGGAAGACAAGGGGGTGGTTGGGGATCAGAATGATAAACTTTAAGACAGAAACTCCAGCCCCAACAATTAGCAAAAGATCTTGATAATTCTTCGACATTTAGATCATGTGGGCTGCACCACCGTAGGCAACCGTGACCACTGGAGTCATCAGTTCTGGCGCCAGCACCACCCTCGACAAAGCAGAAGAGAAAGAAGAGAAGATTGTGTTTGACACTTACGAATCCAATCAGTAAGGTATCCCCTAGGTCAAAGTTACAGGTAATTCTATGCAATGCAAATCACTCTGTGAACACACCACTCTTGGTGTTTTTTTCTTTAGTGATGAGTGTCTCAAACAAGGTGCAAGCAGATAAGTAGAAGATAAGTAGACAGCAAATCTCATCCTGATAGGGACTATAGTCTTCTATCAAACAAGTTGAGGTGGCCAAGTTGAAGTAGAAAGCTAAATGCAGAGCTTAAAGGTTGCAAGCACAAAAACAAACCATTATGGATGATTGACAAAGATATACGACAAGCTCAACAATTATGACACGTTCTGAAGCTGCAGCTGCGATATGTGTCAGTGTGAAATCACTACCGCTCTTAAGAAGAAACGTGACATTATAAAGGTACATGATTAGATATGCAGAGGGACATGGGGTCTACACTCAAACATTTTCAGTGTTGATACATTGTCTCATTTGAACACAGTATGTTGAACATGCCATAAGGTAACTAACCTAAACAAAATCTGGTGGGTTTCACTGATTGCGTCAAAAGGAAAAAGAAAATGGTGGAGACCTTTAAGGAATTTAGTAGCCTATCAAACACTGCAGGATCCAGAGACATAATGATGATAGATGTTACCATATTATTTATGGTGAATATTTACTATTTGACTTTAATTTGTGCTTCTGCTTTGAGTCTATTGGGAGCCATGTCTCTTTGAAACAGCTTCTCTATTTTCGGGCGGGGGATCAAAACAATTAGATTTAAGACTGGAAAATGGAAATCCACTCCCATCCCAAGAAAATATATATCTTTCTAAACAGGAGAAAATGAGATTACTTTCAATTTAAAAGAAATTATCAAGATTACTGTAACATTATACATACACACTAAAACTGAACAAGATTTTTATGATCAAAGTTTGACTAAAAACAGTACGCTTAGCAGAACATCAAGTACTGCCTAGCAAGTTTGGACCTCAAGGGTCAATACCACTCAATAACTCAAAGTCAGCTAGCTTTTGCAATGAACTTACGAAGTAGTAATAATTTACAGAGACTAAAAATAGGTGTCATACACAGAGAGACCACTCATAAAAGTCAATCACTCTAACCCCACATCACCTTCCTCCCAATCCAATACCCAAGCGTAAAGCATTCAATGAAACAATAACAAAACATAGATATGTCGCAGAAAGATGTCAGATGGTAATTCAGACTTTACTTACAATTCCAACTCCATATTTAAAATAGAAGTCAACTTCCACATCTTTCCTATCAAAATGTGGCTTCAGGTAATGATTGTATTGATCAATGGCATCACCATCCACTGTGGGAATCAACATCCTAAAAACAGTCCACTCTAGACAATGCTCATGATAATCAACCAATAAACTGAATTAATATTTCACATGCACAAGAAGTTTGAAATCGAATACATTTTACAAGGAACCCATTAGATACATGGATATATATATACATACATACATACATACATACATACATACATATATATATATAGAGAGAGAGAGAGAGAGATTTTGACAACTTTTATTTAACGCAAAAATTTCATAATATTTCATAACAATTGGAAACCAATTCAAGCTTTTGTCTATTGACTTCTAAAATCAATGAATAAACGTTGCAGAGTTTAGCATGAACACATCCAATTTCTATCTAATAGATATAATTCTACTAATCAAATTTTAACCACATGGTCCAAGTTATTGTTTTCTAATCAAATTCATACCATATATTTTTTACTTTAGCAAACTTTCCTTATAACTCCTTAAGTCATTCTGTAAAGAACCCAAGGATTGAGAGAGTATATATTTAAGGTTACAGTTCTTTAGATATTCATATTGGGTGTCAAAATATGATTATGTGCCATTAAGGGGTCTTATGATGCTCTGTTGGAGGTGCTGCTTGCTTTGTGGGAGGGAGTTGTGTGGGGAGGCTCACCCCGAAATGCTACAAGGAAGGGAGATCCATGTCAATCAAAGGGGTTGAGGTAATTAAGGGGGTTCAGGTGCAATAAAGCACCGTAGGGCTAACAAATGGCCTTGGTGTCGTAATATGAAATCAGAGCTTGTTGTTCAAGAATCCAACAAATCTATACTCCGTAATACATAGACACATACTTTTTTCTTAATCTCCGTGAAGTCATAAAATTTGAAATGAACTGTGTGTGTGTGTGTGTGTCAGGACTTTGAAGAGCAAGAAACTGTATTCCTTTTCCTTCAAACCTAAATTTTTGAGATTTGTAGGTCTAAATGTCTCATTCAATGCTAGGGAAAGAGAAAAAAAACAAAAAATACTAAGGAGTGGAGTATTAAATTTGGCTACATTTCCTAATCTAATGCCCAAACCATCCCGGCCACTTCCATTCAGCGTAATATTTTCAAGATGAAGTTTTATTTTGAACATGAGAGAATCAAAAGTGCAAAACCTATGGGATGAAGGCCTTAAGAGAGTAGTTTTTTTCAACGATGTACTTCTGTACAAAACTTCGAAACAACCTTTCTACTTTTGAGTAGGGGCAAGGTTTGCGTACACACGCCCTCCCCAAACCCTACTCTTGTGGGTTCCAAGTGGATTGATGTTGTAGTGCTTTTGTACAAAATAGAGCAAGTATTGGTGATCATGCTTCTTAGATTATATGATGGCACGTAAGAATACTTTCACAAATAAATCACAGCCAATGGCACTCATACTTGGTTTCATGCCATTGATTTCACCAATGGAATATCGACCCTGCGCAGCTTTTCTCTTTTTCGTAGGTAGACCCTGTGTATCCTCCACATTCAGTTCCCGGAACAATTTTCTTTTTTCGTGGGGTAGCACCTCGAATACATGTTGACGCTTCCGGGGTAGTAGCTCTGGGAAAGAAGTTCCCTGCAATAATTTAATAAAGAACGATGAGGAATAAATTTCCCTGCAATAACTTACAAATAGAGAATGATGCCACTGTGGAAGTCTTGAATAAACATAAACCCCCAACAATGAAATCACTACTAGTTGAAAGAAAATGGAAAGTACATGAGAATAGGGTGTCCTTCCCTCAAGTATACCATGGTATGTTTCAGTAGATCAATAATAATTGCTTTCCACTTTTCCATATCACTAAAATTGGACTTTCAGCATTTAAATTCTAAGGAGCATTCAAAATAGGATTTACAATGGAACCGAAGCGATAAAAAACGAAGCTGTCATACCTCAGATTTAGTTCGGCGGTGGCCTAGTTCAGAGTGATTCTTAACAGAGCCGTGGCCTAGTTCCGATTTCCAGACCAGGAAGAAAGTCGTATATATATAGGCGGGTAATTTGCACTATGCACCTTCAAAAAAGGGAATAAAAATTACTTTGCACCCTCAAAAAACAAAAATTACCAACTCCACCCCCAAAATTATTAAAATCATTCGAAGTCCACCTCTCTCCCTTGCTCTTCATTTTTTCTGGCAAAAATTCAAAATTCTCTGGTCATACTGCAAGTTTAAGAAAGTAAGAGCATGCTTGGATGAACTTTAAGCCCAACGAGAAGCACACCTACGGGAATTGCTCAGTGTCAATATATTTCAGAAACATATGCCTTCATCTCTATTATTTTTTGCATTTGGAAGGATTTTTTTTCTTTTTTGAAATTTTCAATTCCATATTTGACTCCACAATGTGGATTTGGAGTGCAGAGAGCGCCAGGAACTGAAAAAACTAATTGATGATATCGATTTCCTTGAAGTTACTTTCAGGCATAGTTGTTACGGCATTGCCTAGACATCCATTTAGAATTGTGTTTTCGTCATGGCTATTTGACTCACTATAATTTGCCTGAAGAAGCTTGTACATGATGATGCCTAACAAACTAGTAGTTCAAGATCAGAACGGAAAGTGGTAACTATTCACAGATCTAAACTTGCCTAAGGGACGACTAGCTTAAGACAAACCCAAGTCTGCTCAAAGGGTTGTCTCACTAGGCCTTCAGGCATTTTGTGATATAGCTTCATCCATTTTGTTGCACAAGGCATTCCCACATATCTGATTTTTTATTCTTTATTTGGGCTTGTGATATACAACAGTATGTATTTTTTAAACAATCCAAACCCATAGGTTTTTTAAATTCTTTCAAATGTGCAGTATAATCTTTAATTACTACAATACTAATCTATTTTGAATTTTAACCACTTTTTGAAATTTGAATATTACGAAGTACAGAGGACTATTTTTTTTAAGTTAGAGTATGAGAGTTTGCATACTTGAAATTTGATCAACTGAACTGTATTTGTATTTTTAGATTATTATTTTAAATGCTTTTATTTTTTTAATGAAGAGTTCTATTTTGAATAGTTGTTTTTTAACTTGTGTTTTAGATTTATTTGTGTTTGCTACATATTTGTTTCATATGGATATTAACTTTTGCAAAATTTGAACTTTGAACTTTATAAATTACAATATAGCATGGAATATATATTTATCAATGGACACAAACTTCATTTATTACTTGTCGCCTAGGAGACTAGGCATCCCGGCGTTACACTAGCACCGTGACAACTATGCTTTTTGGCAGAAATTGTCCTTTGACCACTTCAACAATCTTTGATTGTACTCCTCAGGCTTAGGCTTAATTTATGACACATCATTTTCTTTAGTGTATAACGGTCTATTGCCCGGTTTCAATCAAATTTCATGCCTAAGCTTCCCATCCCAAACATGGCATCATTCTGTTGGTGACCTTGCAGTGTTGTATTACATAGACTTATGTATGCTTCAAGCTATAAATGTACTACAAATGTTCTTTATTGCATGTTTTTCTTTGTTCTGTCTTTATGGAGGAATTAGTAATCATGTACATGTATAAACTCAATCTTCTTTGATGATTTATTAGTTGAATTCTGTTATTGTTGGATATACTGAGTGTTAGAGGAAGTAGAATGAATATTTTTACTATCGGAGTTCAGGTTGTGTGTGATGTATTTTTGAACTCGTGCATAGGTTATGGTATCGGCCAAAAAAGACTCTAGGCGCTCCACAGTTCATGCTGTGGAGGTTTTTCGCGAGATTTACTACTTGTTCTATCCCGTGTTGCGTATTTTTGAGGGCAAACGCTTGATAAGGCTACTTGTACCGGCTGCACATACTAAAAGGTTGATTGCTCTCCATACAATCAGGTCTCCTTCTAGCAAACTTGCTATCTATCTAACAGGTATGTAATTAACTGGTGTGTTATTTGTTTTTTTTCTATTATTAACAGGTATGTAATAATCTGGTCTCTCACCTATTTTCGATATGGGGGATTGGAACTTGAATTAAGCAAAGTAGAATCGTATGTTTGATATTGATGTTTAAATGTAAAAAAAATTAAGAACGAATGTAAGTCACTCAAATGATTGAATATGAACATGGTATGAGACAAAAACGTGGGTCAAATAAAAATTATGTCATAAAAATTAATTACTTACTCGTATTTCATAATTCATGGTTTAATCTTTCGCAGATAACGTTTCATTTTTATCCTCTGGTGATGTGATTGTTGAAGTGCAAGAGGATCAATCCATGGATGAGAATGAGATAATGGAATCAGTTTTTTCTGATCTGGGAGAGTTAACAGTTGATGAGAGCATGGTGTCTGAAATTAAAGCTACAGTAAGATTGATTAAAAATTTATAAATAATGGATTCATTTAAATGATGGGTTAAAGTATCATTCATGTTTGTTGATTTACACAAATACTGCACAGAATGGGATTCATCCATCAAAACATGTTATATCTGCATGTGGGAAAACACCTTCTGGGGTAAAAGTAAGAAGAGGTTTTGAGGTAAACGTCCACACCCACCCTCCGTCTCAAGTCCTGATTTCCTTTTTGTGTGCTTGCCTTTTGTTGTACATCAATGACCCACACTAAAATCTCTTATATCCCTCCCTGCAAATGGATTCGCAAATGTTTCAATGCTTAACCCAAAACTTGCTCATTTTGCAGGTCAGGGCATCCCAACTAAATCCCCTGTCTTACATTGATTATATCATTGGTAAAGATGGGTCTAATATCGATAACATAAGGGAATCAATCCCAGCCAGTGTTTTCATTAGAATTTTTACTCTAAAAGAGGTGACAATTAGTATTGTTGGTGAAACACGCCATGAGGTAGAGGTTGCTGCAACCGTGATGGAGGTGATGATTATTTGATCAAATGTGTATTTTTTCTAATGCGTATACCACTAATTTAATACTTGAAATGATTGGAATCATGATTAGTATTGCAATTCCCATTGGGCTGCTTGTAGGATGAGATGAACTCCATAAAATGAAATTATATGTGCTTTATTTTTTTTTCTGTTTTTTAAATTTTTGCAGGATTTGATTCCCAAACACCTCAAAAAAGATGGAAAGCCTGTTTTGATGCACTGGTGTACTCATCTTCAGATGATGAGAGAGATGGTTGGCTTAATATTCCGGCCTTAGCTCCCAATAAGCAACACACGATCCGGAGTTTGTATTATTTTGAGTCGCGCTTTGGGGACGCCAATTAAGTTATTGTATAGTCTTGGTTAAACTCTTAACATCGTTGATGTACTTAACTCTTAATCTAGGTATTAAGTTTATGTATAACACCTCTTCATGCTTTTTTACTTGGGTGAACTGTTGAAGTACCTGGGTTTATGTATCTTGTCAATCGTGGAAGATGTGATTATGTGAACCATGAGATTCAATTGAATTATCTATGGGTTAATAACTTTTGATTTCACACACAATAAATTCCTCCATCTCGCTATACTTCCTCTCTTTGGAAAATATTTTCCTACTCTACCTTTTTTTCCGTCTGAAAATATTTTTTTTATTCTACTATTTCAGATTTTATACCAATTCTTTCAAAAATACCCCTTCCGATAACCTCCTTTTCTTTTTTCTTCTCTCGCTCTACACCGTTTCTCCTCTCTTCCTCTCTATCTTCTTCTTTCTCCTCTCTCCTCCTCTGCCCATCTTCTCCACCTTCTCCCCTTCATCTTTGTTCTTCCTTATCTTCTCTTATTTCTATTCAATTTCTCTTCTAGATCTGAGTATGGCAACGGCGGTAGCGGTGGTGGTGGTGGCGATGGCGATGGTGGCGGCTAGATGATGGTGAGTCTAGATTGCCATTTCTTTTTCTTCTTTTTTTCTTTCTCCTCTTCTTTTCATTTAGATCTGACTGCACCACGGTGAAAGCGATGGTGGGACTGGCCGACGGTGGTGGGGTGGCGGCGATGGTGAGGATGCGTCGATGATAAGTCTAGATATGCTATCTTCTTCTTCTTCTCACCTTCCAACTTATTTCTCAACATCCCTCACCGAGATCTAATGGTGGGGCTATGACGGCGATGGACGATGGTCGGACTGCTGCAGCCATGGTGGAGGGGGATAGTGAAGACGGTTGGTGAATGAATTGTTGGTGCGGCTGGCGGCGAAAAGGGGCTATGGTGGCGTCGGTGTGGGGGGCTGGTGATGGCGGGACTGGGATAGGAAAGAGAGGGAGGGTATTTTAGATAAATTACATTCATAGTTAACTCTTCATAAAAATAAAAAAAATGTTAAAGTGAGAAGTTTATTGCGGATTGTTATTCTACAATTGATCAGAAAGATAAAGAATATTAAATTGTATGGTTAAGAGTTATCTACACAAGAAAGAAATTATATAGACTCCTAAAGTGGAAAGTAAAATGTTGCACTCTACAATCAAATCAAATTTCATGCATGTAACATGCAATGCTAGGGGTACACCAAAGGTGGTGTACCCCAAATGTACAACACTCCTTTCTCCACCACTCATTTTTATTTTATTTTTATTTATTCATTTTTTTTAAATTTCTTGTCTTTTTTGTGTGGACAAGGAGGAGGTAGGGGACAAATGAGGTACACATTTAGTGTATCCCTAGCATTTTTTCACTCATGTTTTAGAAATTACTAGTATTCCTACCCGTGCAATGCACGGGTGTGAACGAATATCTTGTCGATTCTGAATTTATGAATTTATTCAATGCAATATTTTTTTTCCGGAATAAAGGAAATATACCTCATGCATGATTTATAATAATACAGAAAAGAAAGACAAAGTAAAAAGAATAATATTTGAGGAATCGAATCTACACACAACAAAGTTTGCTTTAATACCAATTTTTTTGAAAGATTTTAGGGTATACAACATTTTTTGTATGGCTGCAAGTATTTTCATTGTCATCTAAGACTAATATTTTTAATCTTGTCTTTGTCACCACTCGCGAAACAGCAACATAAAGCTGACCATGAGTGAACACTTACTTGGTTAAAAATAATTCAACAAATGACAATGTTTGACCTTGACTTTTGTTAATAGTCATAACAAAACATAAGGCTATTGGAAATTATCTCTTCTGGAACTTTAGAGGTAGATCCGGGGTATGTAAACTTTTTCGCTCACTCGATTTCCCAAAACCACAATAGCATCAATAACATTCTTTCGCATCTCGTCAACAATTAATCTTGTAACATTACACAATCCAGATATTTGGTCAATGATCCCCAGTAACATAATTGGTACCTCTTTTTTAAAACTATCCTGTGGTTTGGGATTCCCGAATATTTGATTTCATTCAAAAACTCAACTGTTATCCAGTCGCCATCAATACCTACATCTGAATCTGCTTGACATGATGAATCAGAACTCAAGTACACCATTTCATCTCCGGGAATGAGAATAAGACAAATTCATTTACCATTTCTACAACTTCGAGCGTGGGTGCTAGTAGTGCCCTGTCTTCAAAAAAAAGAATAACTTCTCATATTCTCCAATAAGTTCGAATAAGTGAAGTTCACTATACTTTTGAGGGGTGAGCTGTTATCTATAGTCAAAAATTCGAGAGGAATTTCAGCGTCAGCAGTTCCATCAATCACTTGTCCTAGCTTTCCATCTCCAACTTTTATTATCCAATCAGAAAAATCTTGCGTGTCTCTATCTACGCAAGAGGACGTTGATGAATGCAATCTCATATTTTTCGTCAACTTAAAAACTTTACAATAAGATCACAAATTTGAAGAATTGATGGTAGCACCTACAATTTTCTCTCTCGAAGCTCTAGGTAAAACAGGAAGAATTTGTCTGAAATCACCTCCGAGTACAACCGTTTTCCCTCCAAATGGTTCATTTATTGAGTTTGGATTAGAGAACTTTATTAGATCTCTCATCGTGTGATCCAATGCCTCAAAAGCAAATCTTTTCATCATACATGCTTCATCCCATATGATTAAACTTGCCTGTTGAATTAGTTCTGCTTTCGGGCTCCCTTATTTGATGGCACACGTTGAACACTCTGTTAGCGCCAAAGGAATTGAAAATCTAGAGTGTTTTGTCCTTCCCCTAGGCAAAAGCAATGCTGCAATCCCACTGGATGCGACATTCAAGACAACTTTACCACTTGATCTTAGAGAAGCAGACAATGAAATTCCAAAGAAATGTTTTTCCAGTTCCACCGCAACCATACACAAAAAAGAATCCTCCTTTTCCAGCAGTCACAACTTTCATTATTTCATCGTATATCTTCCGCTGATCTTCATTCATCGTAGATAAGTATCTCATAAGATCAGATGTCAACTTTTCTTTATCATAGTTCAACTCCTCAACCAATAAATTGTTTTGAAATGTATTGAGTGGATGTCATCTGTAAATGACATACAACTAAATTCCCTCAAAGACCGTCCATTTGAATTAAGCAACTTTTCAATCTCAATCAGACATAAATTCTTTAGGTCTTTTTGAGAAATTATAAGCTCTGAAAAAAGAAATAGAAATAATGGAACTTATTTAATTCTACAAAGTTCTGAATAAATATTATAGGTTTCAAGACAATGCATTATGTACGGATTAATATGTTAAAAAACTATTTCTCTATTGATATACCTTGATTACACAATAGTCTCCTTTGATCAAATAAAATTTCATCCATCAGGCGTTCCCATGATTTTTCCCAAACAACTTGCGGGCGACTCATGGTATTTGTCACTAATAATGTGACGAACAACTTTCTAAGCTGATTCCCAGAACCTAACTCAGCAGCTTCTTTTATACCTTCAATAAATTCCTTATCATCAGCAAGTACCCTCAATGCATCGCATGCCTCCTCGAATGAGTTATACAAAACATTGTTAACGGTCTCCAAGCTTTCATAACTTGTACACCCCTGCAACAGTTAATAGTATTCTCAAGTAGTATAACTCTTCGGTTCCTACAGGCATGTATTGTAAGCGGCCTATTGATGGTATTTGTTTCTCGGATGCCATTCTCGCTCTTAGTTATTGAACGGAAAATGTCCTGGAAATTCTGCATACGTTAAATTTCCCCCACTTTGTACTTTGAATTGGCAATCATCCAAGCCTCAAACATTGAAGGCTTGTAAAGATTTTGTCTGGCAACATCTTCTGTCAATTTTTGTTGCTCCTTAAAAGTGACAAATTTCTGTCCTGGGAGATGGAAATTCAACCTCAATACTGCTGGCCATTTGTGGTGTATAAGAGGATTCTCCAAGATGCTTCACACCATAAAAATTAAACAGGAGGCTATAAAAATTAAACTCCACACCATAAAATATGTTCAAAAACAGGAGGATATAAATCTGAAATTAAGGTCTAAAAAATAAAGACAGACTCAATTCGTCAATACTTTAGTAAAAAACATGTTATTTATGGTGCTGAAAATAGAAGATTCAAGGATAGTAGACTTATTACACTTTAAGAACGACAGAATTATTATTACACAAATTATAATAATTTCTTCTTAGGCACTATTAAAAAAATTTAGTCTCATGGTTTTAGGCACTGGAGACACTTCAACATGAATGGGCACTAAAAAAAACTAAACAGACTATAGTGTGTTTTGTTTTCTAATACCTAGAATCAGAACGGGCTATATTGTGTTTAGTTTTTTCAATACTTTAAATCTGGAGAAACTTCAAGAGACTAAAAACTAAACTCCACACAATAAAATATGTTCAAAAACAGCAGACTATAAATCTGAAAATAAGGACATGCTCAACTCCTCAGTACTTTAATAAAAAAAATTATTTTTTATGGTGCTGAAAATAGAAGCTTCAAGGAAAGCAGACTCATTATACTTTAAGAACAACAGACTTATCATTCTTCATTTATTTATTCAATATGGGCAGTTGAAGAATTTTGGTTTTTTATACATATTAGTATAATTGTGTTTTGAAAGTAAAAGCAAAATAACCTTCCAGGCACTAAAAAATTATTAGAAATCCTATCAAATATAAATTTTATATTGTATGCAAAATACGAATAAGAGTACAATTCTTACATGTTCGTCCTTGAATATCATCTCAATAGAATTTGTCATCTTCTCATCATTATAAACTGGCATCTTGTACAATCGAGTCACACGAACCAAAACTCTCCAGCATTCACTTGATGGATTGATCTTCAGCAAAGGGTGGATCGGTTTGGAAGACATGTCGATTAATTATAGGTTTTAGGTATGAACGCGGCTTACAATGAAAAAATAGATTGATGAAATGGCTTACTTAAAATTTGATTTATATATGACCTAATATAAATCGCAAGAAGGAAACTTACATCAATAAGGTAGAAAATCTAGAGATTTGAACTGAAAAATTCGAAAGAAGAACAAATTTCGCAGAGACTAATCTTTCATAAGAAGGAAAGAAGGCCAATCATCCCAAAAACAATTATGATTTTTTAAGAAAAGGGAAAGTTACCTATTCTTAGTACCGATCGTTGGAAACTCCGTGAAGAAGGTTCGTGAAGAAGGAAAGAGATTAATTCCAATCACATATTCTCTGAAATCTCGCGGTAGAGCCATTCAAAGATGAATATCGCAGGGAGGTGCAATCAAAGGAAAGTGCTGCTGATGTCTAGCTTCATTCAGACTTGCACATGAATTCCACATAGAGTAGCCCAAAGTAATGAATCATTATCCAACCCGTTTGAAATATTGAGTAAGTACAATATGATGACATGGCTTATGATGTGTCAAAAAAAATCCACGTCAACAAGACAAATATCAAAATTCTGGGAGTTAAACTCCCAAATATAATACGGAGTATATAAAGGATAGTTATACTCATTACGCACGCACACAGAATATGAATCTGGATTCTGGAACCACTGACCAACTAAGGCCCCGTTCCGTTCAACTTATTTTTTCTTATTTTTTTTCTTATTAAAATCAGATTAGATCAAATCAGACCAGATCAGATCAGATCGAATCAGATCAGATCAGATCGAATCAAATCAGATCAGATCAGATCCAATCAGATCAGATCAGACCAAGACTTATTAAAATAAGATCTCATCAAGAATTATTATTATTATTATTATTATTATTATTATTATTATTATTATTATGATCATCATCATCATCGTCATCATCATTATTATTATTATTATTATTATTATTATTGTTCTTAAAAATGAAAAAGAATAAACTTTAGAAATAGGTTAAATAAAAAGCTGAGAAAGTAATCCTTAATTAGATCTTTTATAAGGATGAAATATTTTAATAAAAATACTATCTCTTCTATATATTGATTATCTAAATTTAATTACTTTTAAATGTATATCTAAATTAAATATTTATTCCAATGTATAATTCTAATTTTACAAAAAAATTATCATAAAATAAAAAATATTATTACATTATAATATGAATGATTATTCTAATATATGAATTAACTATTTTTATTTTATTAAAAAGGAATCATTAAATAAAAAATATTGATTATATTATAATATGAATTATCATTACAATTTTCAAACGTTATTATAAAGTCACATTAAATTATTGATTTGAAATTTTAAATTAAATCATAATTAATCAGACCAAATCAGATCAGATCAGATCCAATCGGATCAGATCTAATTAGATCAGATCAGATTAAATCAGATCAGATCAGATCCAATCAGATCAGATCAGATCCAATCAGATCAGATCAGAACTTATTAGAATCAGATCAGATCAGAAAAAATAAGTTGAACGGAACGGAGCCTAAGTACCTTTGGTTACAACTTAGGCACATTTCAAACGATACAAATAGAATGGAAAGTTAATAAAATTAAATCTATCGAAGAATAATTGAAAAGATTTAAATGATACAAGGAGTATTTTCTAGACCAACCCACGAAGTTTGGTGCGAGTGTAGCATTATATTGTAAAAAATTGGGCCCTTCTCCTATCCCATTTGGCGGCTGGACCAGCCCACACCAGTAGGGTTATAATTTTAACTCTCTCCTAAGAGACAGCCTCTCCTTCACACTTCATCTCTCGTTAGTCGAAGTTACCTGTGTGTGTTTTTGCCTAGTTCATTAGTTTTTTTTAGTCAATCAATCTCAGTTGTGATTTTTAATGCTTTAGTATATTTTTGAGCCATGTTATTAATGTACCATGTTCTTGATGGAGCTTGGTGTAATTCTGTGAACCATGTTTAGAATTGTCTATATTCTCTGGGCTTACTCTATGCTGGGTTGGGGACTTGGGGGAGCAACACTTCATGGTATCCCATTATTCAAAAAAAATTACTCCGTACCACATAAGTTATTTGACTAGTGTTTTTCCTTTGAAATTGCATGAATGAAGTTGTGCACTGGTGCACATAATTATAATATGTTAATTGAAAAGGCATAATCGGTTCCGGACTTCCTGGTTTCATTGATTTTCAGTATATTCGATTACGGGTCTTATCGATTTCGATTATTATCGGTGTTGGGTCTAAGTCAGGCTTCGATCATTTCGGATATTCGATTAAAGATGAGATCTTTAGTTTTAGATCATTCCGGTTTCACTTTCATATCATTCAATCTAGGTTATTAGTCTCGGTTTTGTTTTGCCACTTTTTCAAGGTCTAACCAACCATCCTTGTAAATAGACCAAGTCTTGTACGCCCAAATTAATATTACAACTGTTGCTCTCTCTCTCTCTCTATCTCTATCTCTTTCCGTTTTCTCTTTAGATCATAACTTACATACATGCTCCTAACTCTCAATCATTTTATGTTTGTGCTTTTGTGATTGTACCATAGATGCAAATTGACAACGTTGTCAGCGCTTTTAAGTAACACATTAATGTCTATTTTACTGAATATATATGTTAAATTGCGTGCGATTTGCAAACTAGTATTACAAACCACTGCAATTTGTGTTGGATGCTTAGGGTCTCAATGTCATGAAGTTGGATTTGTTGGTATATTGCTAATTTCTTAGGGCCTCTTATATATACGGTTGATTCATGTGTTCATTGTGCTAATATGATTGACATTTATTTGATAGCATGGCACGACAGCTTTTGGCTTCGTGTACATGGATGCAGATGACATGGAGTTAAAGGTAATCATGGCGTCTGATGGTCAAATTGATGATAAAGATTTCATAGGTAAAGTATCTTTTCCTTTTTTAATTCAAAATCTGGCTGTCTCTTCGACTAACAATGATTTATTCTCTTGCAGTTAGTGATAATTTCAAAAAGTATTACCAAGATGGTAATGTGGTAGTTATGATTGCTAGCAACGATCAAGATTGCAAGGGCGCTATACAGAACATTCTCAAGAAACATAAGGTAAAATGATTTGAGGTAAAAATTTCAAATAATTGAATGCCAGTGTTTTTTATATTCGGAAAGATAGAAATTGGCAAAGACCAATTTATCACACATTATATTCCATTTTTTCTTACTGTAAATCATTTTGGCAGAATTCCCCAATTTTCTTAACAAAATTGTATTACCATAGAGTTGTGTATGGAGTAATGATTTTTGCTTTTGTAAGACTTTCCTTCTAGTGGCTGATGAAATGAAGTGCTTTGGATTTTCAAAAAATTTGCGTAATCCCCCCATGACTTTCTTGATTTTTCATTTGTCTTTTATACTCCGTATTAATCAATAGATAGATGGATTTTTTATTTGGTGGGGTTTCCTTGACATTGGATTCCCATGTCAACTTATATTGTGGAGTGTAATTGAAGAGGGTGAAGGGGTTTGCCGAGAAATTAAGATGGGAAAGAGTTAATTTTTTGAGCGGGGCATCGTAGGGCCTCCAATTGAGGCCCATGTCATAGGATGACATTTAAGTTCAACATCAATTGAACCTTGCACTTTTCTATTCATATGGATCTCTCGCAAAATATGTGAATCTTGCCAAGGTAGTGAATTCTAGTTTTTTTTGTCATATGTATATTGTTTCTTAGAAAAGTGAGTTGGTAGTCGTTGTCATGTGAATGGCTAGAAAAATTTCATTAGTTAGGTGAATGAAGTTGATAGTCAATAACATCAAATTAATTTACCCTCATAGTTTTGGTGAAAAAATTGAGATAATTGCAAGTCCAAATTTCGTTGTGAGTGCTTTGTTTTCAGTGTTAGAGATGGAGATTGAAGGCAAGCCTTTATACCTAGATGGGCGTTTGAAATCTCCAGTGGCGCTGATGTCTTCAAAAGATTGAGCCATCGTAGAAGGGTAGCTAGCGGCACAACGACAATCATTGCCATAGAGTAGTTAGAGTATATATATCACAAAGTCAAACTATATATCTTATTCTGTTTATTTTTTGTATAACAAACTTTTTTTTAAACCTTGTAGCTTTTTGTACTTGTTTTATACTATGTATGGAAGTGTATTAATTTTTTGTTGCTGATTGAAAATAGGTTCTTCCGCAAAACTTTGTGGGTCTTGTTAATGTGTTCAGTGATGCGATGGAGCCTTCTCGTTGCATCTTTTATCATAGGAGTTCTTGATTCAATTCGTCCGTATGTAATTGCAATGCATTCTATGCTTAAAATGGATCATACTACATCGGACATTGTGGGAGGAGCTGGATTGGGTTGTGACCACGCACTTAAGGCCTTAGAGTATCGGTATGTATGTATTACTTTGTGTATATGATTTTGTTTATTTATTAGTAGAGTGAGGTGGGTGGTTTGTAGGTTATTTAGAAACAAATAGGCTATAGGATTGAAATGAAACCCTTGGCCATATATATGTTTATCACATTCCCACCTCTTGTTTTTTATTCAAGTAGTTTGTCATCTAATTTGTCAAAAAGATATGAACTGTGGTTGAATGACTCTTAATATAATAGCTAGAAGTCTAGATTTACTAATTTTGCTCGTGAAAGTAGAGGGAGCATTTCGTCCAAAGTTTCTCATCTCTTTTGGCTTATCCTCTTTTGGGATCAAAGTGTACGTCCTACTATAAGCCAAGGAGATGAGAGTACGAAAATATAATTCTTTTACCAACAAAATATAGTATGTTACCATATAGTCGCCAATTAATATTTTTTTATTCACAATTTTTTTATTATGTTTCATCGATAATGTTGGATGGGTAATAGGTCGTCAAGGGCTGTCAAAAAGTATGTGGTGCGTAAACAGCAATTTGGCTCAGATCCCACAAACCCCATGGAGGAGATACCAATTGTGAGTGCTTCTCAAGCACTCAAATGGGTGCACGAGGCAATGGTTTATGCAGCTGACCTTGATAACAACAAGATGGGTGGAAGTTTTTATGATGGTGATAATTGATTTGTTATTAATTCACTTTTTATTTGTATGAAATGGTGTTTAAATAGTTTGTTATGTGTTTCTTTTGTGTTTTTGTAGTGTTTTGTGGAGAGCTAGTTGATGGGAGGGCATCTTGGGAGCACCAAAGGTTTGATTTTGAAGAAATGAAATGCTCTTTCCCGGAATGTTATTTTGATTATCTAGCAACAGATGGAGCCTGATAATTTGGAAGTGCAGAGTCAGAGTATTATGTACTACTCCTTCCGTCTCTAAATGTTTAGAGTTTACTACATTTTTCCAAGCCATAGGTTGCTGCCGCAAGAGTAGTAATGCGTCCAAGTACGTCACTGATAGAGGAACTCCCAAGTAACAAAAATCTTTGAGATACAACAATACCACAATCCTTGATATACAGAAACACCACAATCATGTTCACTTGAAGTCATATTAGAGATGATGATGACTGACAGGATGCTACAACTCACTCAAAATGGCTAATGTACTGAAATTGCTACAGAACATGTTTTGTCAAAAAATAATACCAACAAAGGTTACAACATTAACAACGCATGAGAACTAACATTCTCTAGCGGACTCACTAAGTCTAAATGGGCACTTTGATTGGATTGCATGCTGTAAGAGTTTACCAAAAGTGCCAAGACATCAGAGAGGAGATCACCTTCATTGACAAACATGACAAAGGGGTAGTTTCATTCTTTTAAATTGTTTGCTTCAAGGAGGTAGAACCATTCATTACAACTTTTATGACTCTTAAAAATGAAGCCGTGATTTTAGAAGTAGGGATCCTTTTTGTTGTAGTGAAAATGATGATGATGATTTGTAAAGGGATTTATATTGAAAATGTTATTTGGAATGATTGTTCTTTGATAAAATTAAAACTGAGAGCCAATAATACTAAACTTTAAACGGAGTCCTGAAAATACGAGTACATTCATTGGAAAAATAGTACTCCGTATAAAGGTTACCAATTACGGAGTAGTTTTTTTTTGTGAGCAAGAAACCATAATGTAAAAGTATCATGCATGACTCCCTAAATCAACCACTTCATCCAATCATCAATTAATACTAAAAATTACTTTCTCCGTCCCCAATTTGATTACAAATTGCAAGTTATGAGAATATTTTTTTTTACATTTTGAAATTATTTTATTTAAAAATTGATATATCAATCAGATAACAAAAATTACATATGAAAAAACTACGTCAAAAGTTCTACAAAATAAGATGTGACAAGAATATTATATTTTATCAAATACTTAATGAAATCGCATAAATAAACAAAAGTTTGTAATCAAAATAAAGGCGGAGGGAGTATATTAATGTATTATACAAACTAGGAGTATGTACTAAATAACGATTTTTATTGACACGTAAGGGATATTGAATGTCTAAAAATATCTTAAATATAATACTCCCACTGTTCAAGAAAACGGATCCCATTTTGACCAGTGAGAAAAACAAGGAGTATATATTTCTAATTGACTTTCCAATTTTCTCTTTAATGTGATGAATAAAAGTAAGGTATGGTGGATAGATTATTAGTGAAAAAAGTATAATGTGATATGTAATGTAAGTAGAAATAGATTAAAAGTCGTTTTTTAAATACAAAGTAGAAACGTTCTAGTGAAAGACAAAAAAATGTAAGAGGAAGTGTTTAGATAAACGGAGAGAGTATGTTTGAAATACAATGTACTCCTTCTGTTTCTTGAATATTTGTCTACTTTTGACTTTTTTGGACCAAAACCAGCAAACTTTAACTACAAATTAAATAAACATGATACTCCTTCCGTCCCAATTTAAATCGCACGTTTCGGTTTACATTGTTTGACGAAAATTGTTTTCAAATCATTTTGTATGAAAAATAGTTTAGAATTTAAAAAACTGAAATTAACTATTAAAATATTATATCAAAAGATTCATAAAACTAGTGGTCACATGATTTTTTATGTTATCAAATGACTAATAAAATTAGAAAAAAAGTGAATAAATTGAAGTTTGACCCCGTAAATAGTAAAGAAATAATTTAATTTGGGACAGATGAAGTATTAGTTATTGTTACAAAATAATTTTATTAGAATCATTTTATGAAATATTTTAAAAAATATTATTTTATTTAATTAATATACAATATATATTTTATTCAATAATGGTTAACTGCAAAAGGTCAAAACTGGACATATACTCATAGACAGAGGTAATTTATATTTCTGATGATAAATAATATGTAATTATACATACTTAAATTTAGAAAACTTAAATTTAAAACTCGGATTTTTTTGTCCAATTTTTATTTTAACACCCTTAACGGACCTCTACTAAAATTATTGATGTTTTTTAAGGGGAAAGTTAGGAGGATAAGACTCCCACAATTCCGGCTGAGCGAAAGCATGCCTAGCCAACATATGGGCAGCAAAGTTGATTCTCTATGCGCTAAGTTAATTCTTGATGTAAATTAATATAGAGTTTACACTGGAAAAATTATAATTTGATTCTAATATACAGAGGCATCTAATATATAGTGAAATTTGCAGTAAATAACACTAAAATATACTCCGTATGTTTTTTCTTAATGTAGCACTTAAATTTTTTAATTTTCTAAATAGTACTTGAATAATGTCTAATGGCAGAAGCAATGTTCAGAAATGGTGGACATTTAGTTTGGACAATGTCCAATGGCGATTGATATTTAACTGAACAATGACCAGTGAACATTAAATAATGGTACTACATTGAGAAATAAAAATATATTGTACTACATTAGAAAAGTAACTACGAAGTATGTTTTAGTATTATTTAGGTAAATTTTCCTAATATATATACATATATTATTTAAAAATATACTCCCTCCGTTCAAAATTAAACTTCTCGGTTTGATCAAACACGCATATTAAGAAAAAGTGTAAATGTAGTTGACTTTCCCAAAATGCCCTCCACCCCTCTTCACTTCTTTGGTCCCCACTCTTCCCTACCGTCCGATATAGCTCTATGCACTGGCCAGGAAATACGCACAAGCAATTGGATAGTATTGGACGAATTTCTTGATGCTCCACCGATACCTCCAACCGTCGCATCACTGCTCTGCCGTGTCACCTTCGACTGCAGCCTTGCTGCTCTGCCATCACCTCCGGCAACTGCTTCAATTTCAGAAAGAAAAAGGAAGAAACTTGGGGTCCCTAACCTTCAATTGCCGCTCTTTATTCCGTCATCACTACAGGATGTCGCCATCTCCATCTTCGTCCAAGATCTAGATTGGAGTCATCAAATTTGTAGAGATATGATGTCTCTTCATCAAATCTGTGTATAATGATGACACTGCAAGGTGGAGGAAGAAGAAAAGAAAGAAAGAGAGAAAATGAAGAAGAAGAAGAAGAAGAGGAAGACGGATGGTTGCTGCCTTGGACCGGAAGAAGAAAAGGAGAAGAAGAGAAGAAAAAGAAAGTGTGGGAGAAGGGTGGGTTGGTTGCTGCCCTGGACCGGAAGAAAGAAGAAAAGAATAAGGAGTGGGAGGGTAGTAAAGTCTTTCTATCATAAAAAAGTTTCCAAAAAAGGAAACTGAGAAGTTTAATTGTAGACGGATGGAGTATTTAAAACTCAAGGGCTGAGATTTGTTATATAAAATATACGCAGTACAATATTATACGTTTACATTTAAGTCTTTAAAATGTGTAAAATTGTGGTTTTGCCCACTACTTATATTATTGATATGAACTAAAGTAAAATAGTGAATAATAAAAAGTATAATTTGACTAACACAGAGTTAACAAAACGTGGAACATTCAAGTGTAAGAACACTTAATGAATAAGCAAACAAAGGTAACGATTGACAAAATTTAAAAAAAAAATTTACATATTAAAAATTAAAAAAGTACTTCAAAAAAAGCTCTACCTTATACTAAGTGACAAGACTATTATTATATAGAATTAGTAACAAAAATAAAAAAAGAGTAAATAAGAGTTGAAAATGTAAATAAAAAACAAACAATTTCATTCAAAATCATTCAAATACTTATCCTATTATAAGAAAACCCTCGAGTAAATTCATGCTTTATAAATACATTTTAATTCTTATTTTGAAAATAAAAATATAAAAATCTTATTTTTATATATTTTTTAATGTTTTATTCCTTAAAAGTAATACATAACATATTTCTCAGAAAGGAAAGAGTGCAAATGTGTGTGCCTTTTAAATACTGTGAAACGAGGAAGGAGAAAAAGAGGCATGTAAGTCGCTTAACTTTCTCAAAAGAAAAACAAAAAGAACCATCTATTTAGAATAAATTTAAACAAAGAGACAAGACAAGATGAAAGCTCATGAGAAACTTTGTAGTTTTCAGATTGCAATTAGTTTAGCTTGACATCAAGACAGAAACTAATTTAGATCAAATCAAATTTTTTAACCCGTGATGCCTAACAATTAATAGTACTAGTAGTAATTAAGTACATTTAGCAATAAGTTCTCAAAATAATTAATAGCAATGACTACTTCTCTAAAGTAATAATATGTTTCAAGGAAAGATAGGGGGTAAATGAAATACAAAGCTCATAAAAAACATAAGGTCTTCCACAACCATACATTCATCAGAACCATTGACCCAACATACATATCAAGAATGACTTGTTCCAGGAAGCAATTCCGCTATTTTAAAAGTGAATTAATAAATGGTCCCAACATTCCTGCCCATCATCTGAGAGATTCCCACAAAACACTACAAAACATAAAAGAAAGCAGAAACAAACTATTAAAAACACAACACTCTATACAAATAAAAAAGAACTTAATAAAAAATAGTAGGTACTATCATATCTAATCCCCCCAGTAAGGGTATCAAGTGCTCTTTTCCTCATTGATTTATCTACATTATCGAATGCTTGTGAAGTACTCAAGACAAGTATCCGCTCAACTGGATTTGAGAGATCAGAGCCAAATTGCTGCTTTCAAACAACATGTTTTGGTGCATCCATTATCCTACCATCCAACATTTTTTATAAAACATAATAAAAAAGTTGTGAACAAAAAAAATAGTATTTGGTAAAATTTTGTTAACAGATATTATTTTCTTGAGAAGCTTTTCTCAAGAATTCGTTTTTGGTACTTCAATCCCCTTCGCTTATGACAAACTTTAGACCAATTCACGATCAAAGTTAAATCTACAGCTCTAGCTATTAGGTTAAGTGTCATTCAACCAAAGTTAATATTAGGGGAGCGGTCTGGTTTTCATAAAGGAAAGGGCATAGAAGAGCCAATCTTTTTTACACTAATGAGAAGACACAATACTTGAATATTAAAAAAAAAAGATGAAAATGTGACCGTCAAGCTATATATGGACTAACGATTCTAATAGTTTTTCTAGAGATTATTTTCCAATGGCTATTTTGAAAGGCTTTCAGTCTCATTGCAGTCTATTGGTTTATAGATAACCTACAAACTATCGACCCTTATGTTTTGATAATACAAACATAATATGAGATTCTTGAAGTCGATGGTTGGCTTAACAAGCTGCGTTAGACATCAAGACAAGTCTTGTTGATAAAGAGGATTCTAGATTTTTTCTAAGTTTCGAGTCCTAGATTATTTGTTAAAGTGTATGGCACGTTTTTACTTTCCAAAATCTTTTCTAAATGTTTTTGAGTTAGTTTAAAATGGTTCTATCAATATTTATGTCTTTCTAAGTGATTCTAACCAATGTATTATCTTTTATTCGAATAAACTACTTCCAGGGCAGCTAAGTGATTCACAGACTGATTTATTCGAATAAATACATGTTTAGTCGACTATGAGCAAAAATTTTCTGCTGGATTATTCGGCTAAATTATCTTTTAGTCGAGTAATTATTGAGTTATTCATTGCGAGGTTGTGCTAATTTAGTCGACTAAACTCAATTTAGCCGACTAAATCAACATTTTTAATTGTCTAAATGTCATTTTTTCAAATATTTTGAAAGTTAACCAACTCTATCTTATATAACTACTTCACTCTTCGTTTTAATCATTCAAGAATACCAAGAGAACATCTTTCTTAACACATTCTTTGATTATTCAAAGAGAATCATTCAATTCTATCTTCCTCTTACTCAAATTATCAAGTTATTATTTAAAATTTCTTTGACATTTGAAGTCTGAAAAATTTTAGAGTTTTGATGTGTCATACACTAAGATATATCGATGTCACTATATACACTTTAAATTTTGCTTCAATCTTTAGCTATTTATTACTGCGTTTCGTGTGCTTTGCAAAAAAATGACTTTATTTCGTGAACACTTATATTCACCTCTCTGGAGGTGTGTAAGGCGTGTAACACAAACTATCTACCTCACTCTACTAATTGATAGACGACATCCATATATATAAAGTAATACTTACTGATTCAACAACATCTCCAACGCGTATTGAGCACCCGACCCTGCTCCTTCAATGATTTGCGATGTGTTCTCTTGATTTACAAACGAAGCGCTACGACTAGGCCTAATGCTCTCTTTGAACACGTTTATTAGTCCCACAAAGTTTTGCGGAAAATTCTATTTTCAATCAATAACAAAATTAGTACAACTGCATACATAGTACTCTGTAGAAGTTGTACTAATTTTTTTATTGATTGAAAATAGAATTTTCTGCAAAACTTTGTGGGATTAATAAACGTGTTCAAAGAAAGCATCAGGCCTACTCGTAGGGCTTCGTTTGTAATAAGAGTATTGAATCATATCCGTCCCTATTTACATGTGTTGGGAAGACAAGAGAACACATCGCAAATCATTGGAGGAGCAGGGTTGGGTGCCGAATACGCGTTGGAGATGTTGTATCAGTAACTATTACTTTGTATATATGGATGTCATCTATTAATTAGTAGAATAAGGTAGACAGTTTGTGTTAGACGCCTTACACACCTCTAGGAGAGGTAAATAGAAGTGTTCACGAAATAAAACTATTTTTTCGCAAGGCACACGAAACGAAACACAGGAATAAATAGCTAAAGATTGAAGCAAAAATTTAAGTGCGAATAGTGACACCGATATATCCTGGTATGGCATATTAAATTCTAAAATTCTTCAAACTTCAAGCGTTAAAAAAAATTTCAAATAATAAATTTGAGTAAGTGGAAGATAGAATTGAATGATTCTCTTTGAATAATCAAAGGATGTGTTAAGATTGATGTTCTTGGTATGCTTGAATGATTAAAACGAAGAAAGAAGTAGTTATATAAGATAGGGTTGGTTAACTTCCAAAATATTTGAAAAAATGACAGTTAGACAGTTAAAAATGTCAGTTTAGTCGACTAAATCAGCCCAACCTCGCAATGAAGAACCAATACTTACTCGACTAAAAGATAATTTAGCCGAATAGTCCACCATAAAATTTTTTCTCTTAATCGACTAAACATGTATTTATTCAAATAAATCAGTCTAAATCACTTAGCTGCTCTGGAGTAGTTTATTCAAATAAAAGATAATACATTAGTTAAAAAACACTTAGAAAGACACAAATATTGATAATATCGTTTTGAAACCAACTCAAAAACATTTAGAAAAGATTTTGAAAAGTAAAAACGTGTCATACACTCTAACAAATAATCTAGGCCTAAATAAAATCTAGAATCTTCTTTATCAACAAGGCTTGTCTTGATGTCCAACGCAGTTTGTTAAGCTAACCATCGACTTCAAGAATACCATATTATGTTTGTCATTATCAAAACATAAGGGTCAATAGTTTGTAGGTTATCTAAAAGACAATAAACTGCAATGAGACTGAAAGCCTTTCAAAATAGCCATTGGAAAATATTCCCAAGAAAAACTATTAGAATCGTTAGTTCGTATATAACTTGACGGTCACATTTTGATCTCTTTTTTTTTTTTAATATTCAAGTATTGTGTGTTCTCACTAGTCAAAAAGATTGGCTCTTCTATGTCCTTTTGCTTATGAAAACTAGATCGCTCCCTAATATTAACTTTGGTTGAATGACACTTAACTTAATAGCTAGAAGTGTAGATTTAACTTTGCTCGTGAAGGTGGATATAACAATTGATCGAAAGTTTGCCATAAGCGAGGGGGATTGAAGTACCAAAAAACGAATTTTTAAGAAAAGTTTCTCAACAAAAAATAATCTGTTAACAAAATTTTACCAATTACTATTTTTTTATCACAACTATTTTATTATATTTTATAAAAATTATTGGATGATAAGATAATGCATGCACCAAAACATGCTGTTCGAAAACATCAATTCAACTCTGATCTCTCAAATCCAGTTGAGCGGATACCTGTCTTGAGTACTTCACAAGCATTCGATTATGTAGATAAATCGATGAGTCATGCAAGAGCACTTGATACCCATACCAGGGAATTGGATATGATGGTAACAACTATTTTTTTTATTAAGTTGTTTTTTATTTGTATAGAGTGTTGTATTTTTAATAGTTTGTTTTTGCATTCTTTTATGTTTTGTTTTGTAGTGTTTTGTGGAAAGCTCTCAGATGATGGGCAGGAATGTTGGGACCATTCATTAATTCACTTTTAAAAAAGCGAAAGAGCTTCCCGGAACAAATTATTCTTGATATGTATGTTGGGTCAATGGTATTGATGAAGGTATAGTTGTGAAAAACCTTATGTTTTTGATGAAGTTTGTATTTCATTTACTCACTATCTTTCTCTGAAACATATTATTACTCTGGGGAAGTAGTTATTGTTATTAATCATTTTGGGAACTTATTGCTAGATGTACTTAATTACTACTAGTACTATTAATTGTTAGGCATCACGCGTTAAAAAAATTGATTTGATGTAAATTAGCTTCTATCTTGATGTCAAGCTAAACTAATTGTCTTGTCTTGTCTGTTTATGTTTGGTCTAAAAAGATGGTTCTTTTTGTTTTTATTTTGAGAAAGTTAAACAACTCACATGCCTCTTTTTCTTCTTCCTCGTTTCACATTATTTAAAAGGCACACGCATTTGCACTCTTTTTGTTTTTATTATCTATTCTCTATTTGATAAAAAATATGAGTATTACCTTCTTATTTAGATATCTATTAGACATTCACTATTAACTTTAAATAATAATAAAAATAATAGAATAAAAAATAAAAAATGTGAAATAATATATGCACAATGCTATTAAAAACTAGATTGAGAAATAAAAAAACACAAGCTAAATACTTTTTAATTAAAAATATCTATCTAATAATAGAATATAATATAAAATATTAGCATTTTAAGTATAGTTTGACCGGTCGTTGACCCATCAGTTGACCGGTTCAACCCGTTGACCCTTGGCCTACTTTCTTGTTCCGATCGATGTCCGGTCAAGTTTTGAGACCTTTGCCAACAATGAAATACTCCGTAACTGATAGTTGAAAGAAAATGGGAAAGTAAAGCAGAGTATTGTATTATTGCCCTCAATTATATACGGAGTACTACTGTGGTAAAATACTTGAGAACTGACAATCAAACTAGGCTTTGAAGCATTTAATTAATAATCCTCTCTCTGGTGGAAATAAGAACAGTCAAGCTACGTATGGAGCGTTCATAAACCAAACAGCAGTGAGAATATGTGACACAAAATTGGTTTGAGGGGACGAATCCAGCCCCTGTTGGTCCATCTCCCTCTGCGAGGACGATACAGGCGTGGGAAATTGACCAAATCCCGCATCAGAGGAAGATGATACGATGACCCATAACTTCTCGTCTCCGATTTCCAGGAAGCAGTGCGTCTATCACCTTGCCCTAATTATACTTGCAAGTCTCGAAGAAGAGGTAGGGGGAGGGTGTGAAGAGAGAGATTGAAAGGGTTAGTAGATCTGGCGGATAAGAGAGAAAAATAAGAATTTTGGGAAGGTAGGCGTGGTGGAGAAAAATCTGGGGAAGAAAGAAATGAAGTAAACGGGCAAATTAATAGAAAAATGCTAGGGCAAATTATATCTCATATATTCCTCGCCTCCTTCTTATCTAGGCAAAAAATTAAAAAGAAAATAAAATTCAAAAAAAAAGGTAATGGAAAAAGAGTCTGGTATACATTTAGGGTACACCTTTGGTGTACTTCTAGCATTGCTCTAAATTATATTATAAATTCCTTTGTATCTAATTTTGGCTAGAAATTATTTATAGTACGAATTTTATTTTACATGAAAATGAACACTAAGTTATTTGAGAATGAATATTAATTTGTTTCAGAATAAATACTACATTATTTGTAAATGAATATTATAATTATATTGAACCAATGTGTGAAAACGAATACTGAATTATTTAAGAATGAGTACCACGCTAATTATATTTGTGCGAGAATGAGTACTAACTCGTATGTACCTATCTCTAGGTACATAAATACGGAGTAAGAATTGTATTCTTTGGATGTGGGATTACTTCGTATTTGATTACAAAGAATTAAATATAGAAAATGGATTATTTTAAAGCATCTTAAAATTTAATTATATACTCCAATTATTTATTATTTACCGTTTTAATTATCTTTCTTTTTTTCTTTATTATTTGAGATTTAGACATAATTTTTATTTGGTGCGTAAGTGGGATTACAATTTTGATTTTTAATGGCGTTAGTTCCAAGGATGATTCCACTATGCCACTCGTCCCACTCAAACATTCAGACTCGGGGGGGCTGTATTGGGATAAAAGCTTAGTATAAATGGGTCGGCCCAAGAGAATGTCTCGACCACACCCCGACAGATCTTTGCCCAACCGATAGTCGAGATCGTGATAAAGAACCTTCAATCGCAAATTAGAACAGACTTAGGAGACAACGGATCGCTCCAGAACTCAGCTAGACACTGAGCATGGACCATAGTGGGACGGGTTAGTCACCTCAGCCCTAACCACGCATCATGGCGGTCATGCATAACATTTAATGCGGAGTCACCACCGGTGACCGCCCAACAATATTAACACTATTAAGTCACCCAAGATTCCCACCCAACATTATTGTATTCTCCCCCATACCCTTGGGTTAAGAGTCATCGAGTCGTGCCCATGATTTCAACTTTGACTTACCTGACATCACCACCCCTTTCGAGCCAATGCCAAAACTTCCTTCTTCACGCCTGCTCCGAGCTTAAATCCAACAATTTTGTATGAATATCTCTTCTCATAATTAGAATTGAATTACAATTTTGAATATTTAATTTTTATATGATTAAACTTTAATCAACTTTTTTCATCATTTTTGTTAGTCATTTGTTAATATAATGTAGTCATGTTCCCTATTATTTCGTAGATCTTTTTATATAATTTTTAAATATGTAATCTTTAATTTTTTTTATTTTCAACTTAATTTTTAGATGAATTGTATTGAAAAGAACTTCATTCGGCCCAATTGGGTTCGGTTCCCTAAAATTATAGACCCTAACTAAGGCTTCAGGTCATATGTTAGGCCCAAACCCATCTTAAAATATTAATCGATGGGTTAGGTTCCCATCAAATACTATGAAAAAATGACTAATATTTCATCTATGACATTGTGTAGATATCATCTTTATGTCTATGCCATGAATAGCTACAAACTTAGCATCAATAACGGGGTTTATTGCACCAACATCTCATGTAATTCGATAAATATACTACATCTCTCCCGCTACATTCGTCCACTTTTGACTTTTGAAACTGATCATCTAAGCACTTTAACTCATCAAATTCTCTCAATTAGTAAATCTAAATATAGTCATTTGTGATCTTGTTTGATTTATCTTAACATATATATTATTAATATATAATTTTTATAATTTTTTAATTTACAAATTACAAGATAAAATGGATTAAAGAAGTGTATTGGATGGTGTGTAAGAATGAAAGTGGACAAATATTCTGGGACGGAGGGAGTATGCCATAACTGTCTATAGTTTTGAACTCACGTTGTTTTTCATAATTATGATATTGAATTTTAGAAAATATTGTAAGAATGACAAAAATATTCTTCACTCCAAAATTAATTTTCTGAGAGTTATATAAAAATTATACTTATTTTGGAGTCAGTAAAAATCTCTTTTTTTAATTGTTCAAAAATACTTTTATTGAGTTACTTACAAAAAGTGTGTCAAATATTTATCAAAATACTCATCTTGATATTAGAAAATATTTTTGGTGAACAAAAACTATACGGAGGACCAGCAAAGCGATTCACAAAAGGTTTGAAAGTTGTTTCAGTAAGTATAGAATAGTACTACTAGCATTAGCATTAGGCGGTCTGCTCTATCATTATTCTTTTCCACCAAAGAAGCATAAGACAGGCGTTGACATCCTCCAATCACAGGGTCATCAGATGACTCTGGCTCCTCCTCCTCAAAGGTATCGTCGTCCATCTCAGCCTCCGTATCCCACAGTGCCGTCATCCGTAACATGGCCTCAAAAACGTATTCTCCATCTTTCTTTTCGTCCGGAATCAAACCCTGCAAATAAATAAATAAAAACTCTGTCAAATAAACCATATGTTCTCGTTTTATAGACTTCATATAATCAAAAACATAGTGTCTTCCCCAACCCTACCTACCTCCAACACATCTTCAGCACCCTTCACATCCAAATAACATTTACCCTTAACAGAAACAAACACTTGTTTAAGTGTAAACGTTTCCAAGTACACAGATGCCTCCGGACATGATTCCCTTATCTTTTTCATATTTGCACCGTCTATACCAATGAGATCTTCAGTATACCGCAGGGGAATTTCCGTACAATCATGAAACTGCAAAACGAACCAAAGGTGGGTTAACCCTACAAACTGCAAAACGAACCAAATGTGAACTTTCTGCTGTTTATCTACACCAAATACCCAAAAACACAGAATGGAGACACACAGAATGGGGAAGGCACTAACCATAGAGGACTCCGTGGAAGACTTTCTTTCAGCTTTTTCAGGCACACACGCTCCATGATTTGATGGACGAATTCCATTCTGTGAGTATCCATGTGCATAGAAAAAAAAAAGATGAGTGACTACAGTTAAGGAGAATATAATCCAGCGCGCGTACAATATAGCATTTGAACCTACTCGACTATTCAGCTCTGACTTCATGCTCTCTTCAACTCCAAACTCTCCCAGATAAGAAACAACTGAGTCAACTGTCTCAAGTACACAATCACGCCTCCCGCTCACATCAACAATCACATCACCAGGGAAAAAACCTGTCATGTTACCTACATAGTGTGTGCCAACATTTATAAGCATACTCAAAACAACTAGCAAAGTTAATAATAACATAGGAATAGAGAACATGCCAATTGCCTGCTTAGTACACACCTGATAGATACACTCTAAGTCTGCGCGGATGGGGCTTCATTGTGTATAGAATGATCAACTTTTTTGCATGTGCAGCGGGTACAAGTAGTCTTGTTACGCACTGCTCATAAGGCATGGAGTGCAAAAAATATCTGTGAACCTCATCAAAAGCAGTAACAGCATGAAGAATGGAGCGCATAGAGTCCTTTTTCGCTGATACCATAACCTACGCACAACAATTTCATTTACTATCACACACAACCTGAACTCCAACAAGAAGAACGTTCATTCTATTTTCTCTAGTATCAATTGAGCTCAACGATACCAGTAATTAAAAAACAAGGCACCACAGAATTGAGTTTATACATTTGAACATATCCGTGACCTGATATTGAGATTGTCCGTGTCACATTTATAACACGGTGAAAATGACACGAAAGTGGATTAAAACAAAACTGAACCTCAAAAAGAAAAGAGGAATATAATAAAAAAACGTAAAACCAACTGAAGATCAGGACATGTGAGAGGGGGTGGGGTGAGCATACTGAACTTAGTAGCAAGTAGTTTACAGAGGACAAAAACATTTGGCATAATTAGCAAGACCAATTATAAAATTTAAATCTCTATCCCTCCCAAACCTTCCTCCCAGTCCATTACCCAAGAAATACCTATTCAACAAAACAATCTTAAAACATAAATGTGTCAAGAAAGATGGCGTATATAATTCAGGCTTACTTACAACTCCGACTCCAGTAGCTACAGAATGAAAATCCACTTCAACTTTTTTCTTCACGTAAAGTGATTTCAGGAGATTAATCTTACTCTCGTGACAATCCATGGCAACTTCATCGTTTGTGGAAATCAACAACCTAAAAACAGTCCACTCTGGACAAAATAAGTGTTTCACATGCACATAAGTCAACATTTGAAGCCAGCAATTGTATACATTTTAGAAAGAACACAATCATTTTGTTCAGGGGTCGGGTAGCACTACATGATGGGTGAGATCATAACAAAATGATTCCGTCCAACTTTGCTTCCGCCCAACCAAAATGATCTGATAGTAGATGACTCGAAACCTACTAAAAAATTTTTTTTTGAAAGACTCGGAAAAGTTCGGGTTTTTTAGAAAATAAAGTTAAGGTTAATTGAAAAAACATCTGAAGTTAGGGTAACGCCGATGAAATTTACTAATTAAATTTACACTTTCCAATTTACCTTTTAAGGAAAATAATACGTGGTATAGCACTTCTCTCTGATACACAAATGTTAAACATCCATTTTTTCCTATTCAACCCTTTTTTCTGAACTCAAAGTCAAAATATGAAACACATGTTTGAAATAGAGGGTGTGTGTGTGTAACAAAACTTTGAAGAGCAAGAAATTGCATTCATTCCCTCAAACATAAAGTTATGAGATTGTAGGTCTCAATCAAGGCCAGGAAAAGAGGGTTAGAGAAGAACGTTGGGATTGTGGAAGAATGTTGGTATTGTGTACCCGGTGTCTATGAACAGATAAGAAGAATGTTGGAATTGTGTACCCGGTGTCTCATCCACATTCTGCTCAAAAAATAGTTTCCTCTTTTTTTCAATGGAACCCTGTGTCTCATCCACATTCAAGTCCTGAGACAAATGACGGGAATAAATTGACATGCAATAACTTGGATCCACCAACAATGAAATAACTGATAGTTGAACGAAAATGGGAAAGTAAAGCAGAGTATTGTATTATTGCTCTCAATTATATACTACAGTGGTAAAATACTTGAGAACTGAAAATCAAACTAGGCTTTGAAGCATTTAATTTATAATCCTTTCTCGGGTGGAAATAAGAACAGTCAAGCTACGTATGAAGCGTTCATAAATCAAACGGCATTGAAAATATGTGACACAAAATTGGTTTGAGGGGATGAATCCAGCCCCTGTTGGTTCATCTCCCTCTACCAGGATGATACAAGCATGGGAAATTGACCAAAGCCTGCATAGAGGAGGATGGACAGAGCCGATAATAAGAGAAAAGAAAAGGGGAAGCGGTCATATACCTCGGATCTAAATCGACGATGGTGATTCTTAACAGATCCGTTCTGCGCTGGTTTCGGTTCCTCCATATCTTCTCTTATCCGATTTCCCGGAAGCAAAGCGTGTAGGGACGGATATGATCAAGAACCCCTATTACAAATGAAGCCCTACAACTACGCCTGATGCTATCTTTGAAAACGTTTTTTAATCCCACAAAGTTTTGCGGAAAATTTTATTTTCAATCAATAACAAAATTAGTACAACTTATATATATACACACATATACACACACATATATATGTATATCGGGTCCAGTTCTCGTGAGAATGCACCTTATGGAAAGAAATGAGAATAGAATCTAGCCGTTAGCCGTTGTATCTGATGCATCGTGCGGCTCAGATTGCATCTTTCGCTCAAATTTTGATATAGTGCATTTTCAAAGATTTTTGGTGCATTTCAACGTGATGCAATTTCAAACCATTTTGGAGCACCTAATTTTGATACAATCCTGACCCTTAGATAGCACTAGATTCATTCTCGTTTCTTTCCTAAGATCGCATTCTCACCAGAGCCTATATATATATATATATATATATATATATATATATATACTACCTCCGTCCCACTCTCTTTGTCCACTTTTGACTTTTGGAACTGTTCATCTAAGCACTTTGACTCATCAAATTCTCTCAATGTGTAAGCCTAAATATAGTCATGTGTGATCTTGTTTGATTTGTCTTAACATATAGATTATTAATATATAATTTCTATAATATACAAATTACAATATAAAATGGATTAAAGAAGTGCATTGGATGGTGTGCCAAAAGGTAAGTGGACAAAGAGAGTGGGACGGAGGGAGTATATATAGACACACACACACACACATATATGTGTGTGTGTGTGTGTATACGTTCACTTGAATCACATACACAAGTGCTCTCTGAACCGTGCAATAAGGTCACCCATATATATATATACACACACACACACACATAAATTTATATATATATGTGTGTGTGTGTGTGTGTGTATGCACGTACATACATACGTATGCACACGAATGGAATTTAAGGGGAAGGTTAAGGTGGATTTCTCAATTCTTCTAGAAAACCAAAGTACTTCATTTTATCACATACATTAAGGAAAGTATTACAAAAGCAACTTAAAAACAAAGATCAATACTCCATACACAACACTACTGTAATACAATTTTGTTAAGAAAAAATATGAATTTTGGCCCAAATAAATTACTGCAAGAAAAGTAGAGTATAATGTGGTAAATTGGTGAATGCCAAATTTCGTAATGCTGAGTATACAAAACATCTTTATTTCATTATTTGGAATTCTCAACTCAAATTATTTTACCTAATCTCTTGCTTCAATTTCCTGTAGAGTTTCATAACAATCACCAACTCTGCCAGCAAGCAAAACTATTGCATTTTTGGCAAAAAAGTACTTCTTTGCATCATCATAAACTGAAAGAGAGTAAACCATTGTTAATTGAAGAACTAGCTGAATTTAGAATTAAAAAAAAGAAAATATATTTAACCATCGATTCCTTCGCGGCTTCTTCTCTACCTATCAGCAGCCATTATTAGATTTATCACCCTCATATTCATATCATCGGTGTCCAAAAACACAAAGCCAAATACAGTTGTGCCACGTTGTGAAATAAATGACAATTATATTAATACAATGAACATAACAACCAAACATACCCTAGATAAGACGAGGGGCCCTAAAAATTAGCACTACATTAACCAATCCAACTTCATGACATTGAGGCCCCAAACATCTAACACAAATTGTTTTGATAAGGGAATCATGTCCAGAGGCATCTGTTTACTTAGAACCGTTTACACTTAAACAAGTGTTTGTTTCTCTTAAGGGTAAATGTTATTTGGATGTGAAGGGTGTTGAAGATGTGATGAAGTTAGTGTTGGAGAAGACTTTATGTTTTATGTTACTCACTATTTTACTTTAGTTCATATCAAAACAATTTGGGTTGGATGTTTGGGCCTCAATGTCATGAAGTTAGATTGGTTAATGTAGCGCTAATTGCTTATGGCCCCCTCTTATCTAGGGTATGTTTGATTGTTATGTTCATTGTGTTAATATAATTGACATTTATTTCACAGCATGGCACAACTGTATCTGGCTTTGTGTTTATGGGCACCGATAATATGGATATAAGGATGATTATGGCCGATAGAGAGAGAAGTAGCCGCAAAGGAATCGAAGGTAAAATATACTTTTTTTTATTAATTCTAAATTCAGCTAGTTCTTCAACTAACAATGGTTTACTCTCTTTCAGTTTCTGATGATGGAAAGTACTTCTTTGCCAAAAATGCAATAGTTTTGCTTGCTGGCAGAATTAGTGATTGTTATGAAACTCTACAAAAAATAAAAGCAAGAGATCGGGTAAAATAATTTGAGTTGAAAATTCCAAATAATAAAATACAGATGTTTTGAATACTCAGTAGTATGAAATTTGGCTTTCACCAATTTACCACATTATACTCTATTTTTCTTGTAGTAATTTATTTGGGCCGAAATCCACATTTTTACTTAACAAAATTATATTACAGTAGTGTTGTGTATGGAGTACTGATCTTTGTTTTTAAGTTGCTTTTGTAATACTTTTCTTAATGTATGTGATAAAATGAAGTGTTTTGGTTTCCTAAAAGAATTCCCACCTTAATCCTCCTCCTAAACCTCATTCATATGCATACGTATGTAGGTACGTGCATCCATACATACATGCATGCATGCATCCATCCATCCATCCATCCATCCATCCATCCATCCATCCATCCATCCATCCATACATACATACATACATACATACATACATACATACATACATGCATGCATGCATACATACATATCTATACATACATATACATATCTATACATACATACACATATATCTATACATACATACACACACACACATATATATACATACACACACACACACACACACACACACACATATATACATACACACACACACACATATATATAGTGGGGATGGTGGAATCACACAGTCAAACTACATTTTGTATATTTTTAAACATTGTAACATTTTGGCCTAATTTAATACGGAGTACTATGCATGATGTTGTACTAATTTTATTATTGATTGAAAATAGAATTTTCCGCAAAGCTTTGTGGGATTATTAAACATGTTCAAAGAAAGCATCAGGCCTAGTCGTAGGACTTCGTTTCTAATAGGGGTTCTGGATCATATCCATCCCTATGTACATGTATTGAGAAGACAAGAGAACACATCGCAGATCATTTGAGAAGCAGGGTTGGGTGTTGAATACACGTTGGAAATGTGGTTGAATTAGTAAGTATTACTTTGTATATATGTAGAGTGAGATAGAAAGTTTGTGTTAGACGCTTTACACACCTCTGGGGTAAATAGAAGTGTTCACGAAATAAAGCCATTTTTCGCAAAAGCACACGAAACGCAGGAATAAATAGCTAAATATTGAAGCAAAAATTAAAGTGCAAATAGTGACACCGATATATCCTGGTGTATGGCACATTAAACTCTTCAAACTTCAAGTGTTCAAAAAATTTCAAATAATAACTTGATAATTTTAGTAAGAGGAAGATAAATTTGAATGATTCTCTTTGAATAATCAAAGGATGTGTTAAGAAAGATATTCTTGGTATTCTTGAATGATTAAAACGAAGAAAGGAGTAATTATATAAGATAGAGTTGATTAACTTCCAAAATATTTGAAAAAATGATAGTTGAACAATTGAAAATGTAGATTTAGTAAAGCAGAGTATTGTATTATTGCTCTCAATTATATACTACTGTGGTAAAATACTTGAGAACTGACAATCAAACTCAGCTTTAAAGCATTTAATTTATAATCCTCTGGTCAAGCTACGTATGGAGCGTTCATAAATCAAACGGCGGTGAAAATATGTGACACAAAATTGGTTTGAGGGGACGAATCCAGCCCCTGTTGGTCCATCTCCCTCTGCGAGGATGATATGGTGACCCAAAACTGGCCGGAGCCGATAATAAGAGAAAAGAAAAGGGGAAGCGGTCATATACCTCGGATCTGGATCGACGATGGCGATTCTTAACAGATCCCTTCTGCGGTTCCTCCATATCTTCTCTTCTCCGATTTGCAGGAAGCAGTGCGTGTATCACCTTGCCCTAATTAACTATACTTGCAGGACTCGACCGCTTGGCCTCAAAATTGAGTCTCGATTTTTCTACCCCTCCGTCTGGTTAATCATGGTCATGTTAAATTGATTAATTTTGTTTAGTCTTTTTCCAAATATGTTTTTAAATTTTAACTACATCCTCACTCTAAAATTAGTATTATTTTTACTCTCTTATTTCAAATACTACGTATATATTTTCATCATTGTAAAATTTATTAATTTTGTTTTTTAACTTCTCATGTTTCATTCTTTCTAGTTTCTATGTTTTCTCAAGATAACTTAAACAAAAATCACTTTAAATAAAAAAGTATAGAGAAAAGTATTAAAATAAGATTTTTATGTTTTTTTCCCAATACAATGTAACAATGTGATATTGTACATGTGCATATTACTATACTTTTTGGTAAAGTACATTAACATGTTTGGTAATATAAATGCATTTTAATAAAAATATGGAAGTCTTATTTTAATATATGGTTAATGTTTTAGTCATACATTCATACACTGATACACATAAAAGAGAAATCAGAAAAAAGAGAACTGCATCCCCTTCATCTTATATCCCTTCGTTGGAGGGGAGGGGGGTTGTTCGTGTTCCCATGCAGGAAGGACGCTAACTCAACCTTCCTCCTCTTGCACCATACCCTTGTGCCTTAAAGAATCCACATTAGTTGCACTTCTCAATTCTCATTCCTCATTAGATGCTCAGATATGGGCTCTACCTTAAAAATATTATTGCATCATCTTTTTGAACATCTAAATCATTTAACGGCAGCATCTCGTTAAAATTCCTATGATCGATCGTATTCACATACAAATACAATTTGTATATTATTATTTTTAATTATAAATTTTTATATTATATATATGAGTGTTACTTATGAAGTAGTAAATTACTAATTAAAATTGATATTTTTAAAAAAATAATACAAATCATTAAAAATATTATTACTGAATTTTTCTATTGTTAAAAAATTGGTTAAAAATTAAAGACATGGTGGTATTACTAAAAATAAAATAGCATATCGTATTTTTTACAGAGTATTTATTTATTTATTTATTGTGCTAGTCATTCTCAAGCAAATGAAACACTAGCTACTTCAAAATAGACTTTGCATGGTATCACTAGAAGTAAAAAAATAAAAAGAAAAAAAATTCCAAAGAGGGTTCGTTTAAAAAAAATGGTAAAGACTTTTTCGAAAAAAAGAAGACTTAATAGTGTTATAGAATTATAGCACCACCACAAGTAAACAAATATATATGAAAAGAAAAAACATTGAACATATAATGTATTAAAAAGGACTTATTTAAAAAAAAGCAAAGAAAAGAAAGCACGCATGAATTTGAATGCTAGCACCCCGTGCTCTCTTAAGCATCGATCTCTCTCTTTCCTCATTGAACATTACCTCTAAGCATTTATTTTTAATAGTGGCATGCATAAACATCTCATCTCTCTAGCTCCTTTGAGCATCTCCTTTGGGCATCCCATTGTAGATGACCTTATACTTGCAAAACTCGATGGCAACCTGCAGACTCAAATTATCTTGGCCTCAAAATTAATGAACAATTTTTCTTTGTGTCCTAATTTATTGTCTCTTTTATGATATTTGATTAAAATGATTTCCAATATGCTTTAAATAAAAGTTGGTGTAGAATTTAAAAATAAAAAATTATATATTTTAAAACTACATCTAACTTTATACTCCATTCGTTCATAATTTACCTTTCCAATCAATTACGGGTTCTCAATTAATTCTAGAATTTGGGTATTGAGTTTTTATTGATTCTTCAGTTTCCCAAGTTGTTTCTTCCGTAGAGTGATTTCTCTATAGCACCTTGGTTAATCAAACCAATTTGTTCCAGAGTTCTTTCACTTCAAGTGCCAATATTTGAAAAGGTTCCTCCTCGTTAGTCAAACATTCATCAAGGGTCACATTTCCATTGGCCATTATATGCAATGGATTTGAACGGCATCGTTTCAACATAGAAATGTGGAATACGTCTCGGATTTTGTGCTCACATATTGCCTACGCAATCCCTACTTCTTCTTGTGTGTCTCTGTGTGTGAATTAGATTTTGGTGATGCTTGGGGTACTTACTCCATATGTTTTGAAAATACGGCAATGCATCATGGGCCTAATAGAAATAGTCTCTCTCTACTTAAAAAATACAAGGGCATTTTAAAAATCAGTATTTTAAAAATTCAAGGGTAAGACTACGTACATCATTACCCCAAACTAAGTCTGCATCATACGAGATAATCAGGGGTTGTTGTTGTTAAGGAACTTATATGATGCATATTTGCTCTTAAGTTTTTGGAAGGCATATAAAGTGTATCATGTATTTAATGATTTCTTTGTAAAATGTATACAACTGCCAACTTCAAAAGTTAGACACAATGAATAGTAATTTTATGGGTTGATGATTATGCAAATACTTCATCTGTGATTATGTGAAACACTAATTATCTTCGATCATTTTATGGGCTGATGAATATGAACAAATCTGTCTAGGGTGGACTAGCTGTGTTTAGGGTGTTGATTCATGCAAAGGACGATGGTGTCATTGTTCATTTCAATTGTGACCGAAAATAATGGACACTATATCCCGAATTCAACATGGACACAAATCTGTTTCTGTCATGCGGCCTGGGTGGCCTGAAGGCCGCGGGTGTCCATGCGAGCTTGGCTGGGCTTGAAAAATTCTCGTAAAGTAGCGTTTCGGCCCGACCCGTACTTTGATCAAGTCTAGTCTCAACTAACAACTATCTGTAAATATGCTGATTTGCACTTTGTGAACGAAATAATTACTTGGTGGATGTAATTCATTAACTTTTAATCCTTGTAGATTAGAGACATGTTTGGAAATAACGGTAGAGATTAGTATTATTGTGTTGGATAATTTAACGGTGCTGATTACTTTGACAATAGATAGTTTTTTCAAAACGCTAACGTTAATTTCTAATGCTATTCTCAAACAAGCTCTAATTGTCCAAATTAATAAATTGATTTAAGCCAATCAATTGCATTCCGCAAAGTTGTCTCTTGAGCGCTTCTAACTTGCCATTCCTAAATCTTGATCTCTTTTTTGCATGTACTCAATAAAAAATGTTAGATTCACAAATAAAAAACCACACAATTTATAATCTCATTTCTAAAAATTTATTTTTCACCTTTTCAATTATTTAATTTTAATTTATAAATTTCAGAATGTTGTTATTTTTTTTGTGACTAACGATTTTCATTCAGTTAATACATAGAATAAAATCAAAGTAATTTAAGCAAAGTATATTTAAATGCAATAATATAAGAAGGTGGTGGTGGCACGCAAATAGGCAATAAAAACATGCCACTTTTACAAGGAAAAGAGAGCATATATCATAATTAGCCATCATTTATCCTTTTGATCCAAGACTCCAATGTCTCCCAGTAAACTTGATTGATGATACGGAGTAAAATATGAACTTCATCTTTGAGTGTCCAATCACACCTGGCCAGAAAGTCATTGACAAAAACGAAAATAGACTTTGGTTGCAGGTTGGTAGCAAAGAGTAGAACTCGCACTTAGTACTTGCAGATCCATTGTGCTTATCATTGTCCAATAATCGAACTTGAGTCTTATTCTCATGACATTCTTTGTCTTTACCAACTGCGTTACGACCACTGATAAATTAATTGATAAAATTTTAGATGTGATATAGATAGTTGAATTGAATTTTAAGATACAAATTGAAACATATTTCGATTAATTAACTTAATTCAATGTCTTGCAACTAACATAATACTAGTACTCCTTCTGTCCTAATTTATATTGCATGTTTCGATTTAATGTTTGACTAAAATTATTTTATATGATAAATGGTGTAGAATTAAAAAATAAAAGTTACATATTAAAATATTACATAAGATCTACAAAAATAGTGGTGACATGACTACCTTATTTTATTAAATCACTACAGAAAATTAGAACGGGGAGAGTATTTTCTATTTAATATTTTTTAAGGATACTTGTAAGTTCTAACATTTTTATGTACACAAAATAATGAAATATCATTACTTTTCCCTTCATACATGAAGGCATTATTGTAAAATTGCAAATGGAATAAAAAGAATGCGAGCATAAGAAATCACTTAAAATCAGAGTAATACATAATTCTTATTTTGAAAATATGAATAACATTATGTACTACCTCCGTTCATGAGTATTTGTCCAGTTAACAGTTTTCAACCTTATGATATATAATTAAATAAAATATATATTATATATTAATTATATAAAATAATATTAATTCTTTCTTGTAAACTTTTAAATTTTTTCATCCTGCATTGCCACAAAATATTTTAACATTGTCAAAAAGTACATAATTGTTTTTACTTTTTTTAATCTAAACGAATCTACTCAAACTTCATTCTACGGCTTATCCATTTTGACATTTCCTCGAGCCCTACTTGTTTCAATTATCATCGTTTCACTTTGATCAAACTTTTGTAACCTCGCCTCCCAAAAGTCAAAACAGAAAAATGATATATGGAACAGAGGAATATGTTTTTTAAATTTGTAAAAGAGCATTATTTTAAAATAAATACTCCCTCCGTCCCTAAATAATTTACACATTTTACTATTCAAAAATCACGAAAATTTTTATTTATTTTTGTATTTTCATTTACTATTTGATAAAACAAAATATTCTTGTCACATCTTGTTTTATAGAATCCTTGATGCGCTTATTAAATATGTAAATTTTATTTTTTATTTATATGCCAATCTTTTAATAAAATGAAATGAAAAAACTTAAAATTTTACTTTATTTGGTGTAAAAGTACCAGAGAAAGTATAATAAATAAATAAATAAATAAAAGGCATGAGCTTGGTGAGTTTTGCCAACCTGCAGGGTGCCTGTGGTCCTCAATGTGATTATGATGTTACACTTACATATGGCACTCCTGAGTCCTCACCACTCACTCCTATCCACACTCAAAAAAAAAAGGAAAAATAATAATTATATACGCATGCATATTGCATATATATAGGGATAATTATAAAAGAGTTTTAGGGGTTT